TCTTTCCCTCTGTATTTCTCGCACATCTCTCTCACAATTTCCATTGCTTGGTCCTGCATTTTTTTTATATGTATCACGAAACGTATCAAGGGTGAAAAACCATTGCTTTGTAAAGGGCAGCCGGGTGCACAAAGCGTCCCCGTTGAGCGGGGGTCCGGGGAAGGGTCCCACCACAAGGGTGTATTGTAGGCAAACCTTACCTTACAGAAATATTCTGCAAGAGTCTGCTTACAGGACTCGAACCCGTGCCCTTTAGGTCACAACGACAACACCTTAACCGGTGCGCCAAGGCTCCCCTTCAAAAACCATAGCTTCGTACGAGGAGAAATTTTACCTGTAGACCGTGCAAAATCTCCGGCTCTGGTAGCTCGGGGAAATGACCAAGATCCACAAAGCCCACTTCGTCTGCCCTTTTAACAGCTCCCTCTGCTTGTAAACACAGAAATCTCAACAAGAGGGAAGCCACTCTGTAAATCTGAACCGCCACAGAGTCTGAGAAATGTGATTGAGGAAGAGTTTGCGGAGGTTCCGTTGATGATTGGGCGCTGACAACAAGAGCCGTCGATGAGACTGAGGCAGCATTAGATTTGGGTTTGCCGACACAAACTAAAGGAGCTACATAGAACCATCCATGTTTGCTGTTGATCAAAGGTTGTCTTTTGCAGGAATCAAACTCTTCTTTCTGCACCGGAGCGAATAAGACATGACCCATTTGGCTCTGAGTTTCTCTCCCGTGTTGAGCGCCTTTGCTGATGAAGGCCAAGAGATGTATACATGTTTCTCTCAAAGGAGAATTGATCTCTTTCATAATTTTAACCCATGATCTCCAATGGCTTGCCAATGCACACATCAGAACGAGAGTATGCTCAGTTTCTCTCAGATAAGCCAGTGAAGTCCATGTCCTTTGAATCCGTGGTCTTTTTTTGTCACGATTATCTGACAGCAAGTCAGGAGCTGTGAGGTAGTACATGACCATGTAAGCTTTCTCTGAAAAGAAGTAATATATGACACTCTCCACAACGTCTGCACCCAAAGAACTATTTCCTAAACAATGAACCATGGCAGTAGCCACAGCCAAACCGAGTCCCCAGATATGCTGAGCCTTTTCTGTCTTTTCTGCTACCGACCTTTTTTCATTATTCAATACCAAGGCAGACCTTCCATCCGGCAAGTCAATGAATAATGTCCTTAGTGTAGAGAAAAAACCAGCATTTAGGAGCATCTCAGCACCACCACGAACTTGAGCTATAGTCAAGAAAAACTTCAGAATCGCTGGCACGGATGCCATTGAAGTTTTATCCTGAAGCTGTAAAATAACTTGCTGCAAGCGCAGATGGTTCTGTATGATAGGGAACCATGTCTCCGGTGTCAAAAAGCTTCTGAGAATCAGATCTATAATTGTCAGGCAGAGAGTAGAATACTTGAGACTGCCCATGAAGTTGCACAGAAGGGGTAATAATCCAAGGGTCGCATCAGATATTTCTGCTAAATCTTTGGCAGGGACCATAACTCCTGTACCACTCGATTTTGAGCTGTCCGAACCAAAAGCCACAACCAGAAGAACCTCAAGCAGGAGTTTCATTGTTTTCTTCACCACAGCACATGAATGCCTCAAACTACCAAGGACTCTGAGGCCAGATCCAATGTTTCTCAGGACAAGTGCACAAATGGACAATGACAGATTTTTCTTTGCAGATTTCAATAGACAAGAAAGCAAGTCTATTTGAGCTGCAAGGATATCAAAGATTTCCTTGGGTGCATCCCAGGCAGGGGACAATGATTCAACTGTGGCACGGAAGTTCAGGCATACCTCACTGATACTTGAAAGAGTGACTTGGTACGGGACCTTCCTTTCAACCTCTGTCTTCTCCTCTAGAGACTGCACATAAGAAATATCATTTTAGATGTAGCAAAATGATGAAGCAGCAACCCAAAAGAACAAATGTTGGGAGACAATTTTGCCCAAAAGAAAAAAAAAATGTGTTTCCAATCCGTTCCCGTCAATTAGCACGAACAACCTATAACACTTCAGTGTGAGGAAAAAATGTTGGAGACAATTTTGCCCATAATTGAATTATTGCGTGATAAACCAAAAGGCAGAAATAAAGTCTTGCTAAAGCTATAATTAGAATGAGAAACTTACATTGTCCTCATAAAGAATCATGGCAGATATCAATGCTTGCAGAGCAGAAAGCCTCGAACTCCAGAGCAGAACCATTGAGTTTGCTTTCTCCATGTAATGCAACATTTCCTCTGCAATTATTTTAGATGTCCTCCAGTCGGAGAAATCCCAAGTATCTAGTCCCAGTTCTGCCTGTATGCGCTGAGTGTCAAACAAGAGCTTCTCTTCAAAAGCCATGCTTACATCTTCAAAAATTTTCTGTTTGTATTTCTCCCAAAAGCTTGAATCAACCAAAAATTGGAAAAGTTCTTTGAAAGGACCAGTTGGAATATCACGACCCTCAAGTTTGCCTTGTAGATGGCAGTAAAGATCACTCATAATTAAAGTCTTCAACTCCTTCCCTTCACTGGAAAGAAACCCAAAATTATTAAAAAAAAAAAGTGGTGATACAGTGAACACATCGAAACAACACGAGAAGGAATGATTTAAGAAACACAAAAATAGCAAGCATATCAAATGGAGATAAGATTAAGATGACAGCATCATCATCTATGTGGTTAAGAAAATGTATGCAAGAAAAATACAGTAAAAAGACACAAACAAAGCATTACCTGTAGCCAAGTTTGGAATATTGAGCCATTAACTCGGAAAATGCAGGTTGGCTGCAAAGCTGTCACCAGATAAATAGAAAAAGACATCAGAATCTGAGATGCTGAGGCCTTGAAAATAGCTATTCTAAAGGACATAAAGAAGTAAAGAATGTTAAAGACAGGAAAATACCATTGCAGATATAAGTTTGACCATTTCAACTAATGACACAGACAAGGCTCCAGAACCAGATGTTTCCAGTTTTACAATCAAATGCACAGTGAGGAAACTCCCAGCCACCTGTAGTTAATGGATATCAGACATAGGAGAAGCTGGAAAGCCTAACCTAAAAGTACTATCCCGTTAGGTGGAGTACAGAACCATGGTAAGAAGGGAAATACTTAAAAGCAGAAAACAAGTTAGTTAAGGAAAAGGCTGGAGAACAGATATATGAGGAAGAAATGCTTGCCTGTGTGGACAAGTTTATTTCACTTGCACCATCTAAAGACGATACTGTCTGAATGAGGCTACCCAAGACAGATTCGTGGCACAATTTTGCGAAGATATCCTTGGGATCTGAATCACCTGTAGACTTTAATTTTAATGGATTTTCCACATTATCAGCCTTCTCTTTTGGATCAAAGCTTGGTTTCACAAGTGACTCTGCATACAGCAACTTCTTATTCAAGAACATGTAACATGCCATAACTTCCAAAACATTGGACTGACACTGATATTTCTGAACCAATTTAGCAATCTCTTCCTTGGTCAAACTTCCAACTGTAGAATCTTTTAGCTTGGCAGTCTGCCTCACAAGGTCGGATAATTGCTTCCACAACTTCTCTGAGCTCTTCAATGGTTCCAGCATATTTGCGTATTGGCCAGCCTCTTGCCACAGGGCTTTCAGGAAATCAAGTAAACTCAGCAATATGCCTGTATTGCTGGAGAAAACGAGACCATTAATACAAATGTCTAAGACTCAACTCAATCATATAGAAGACGTGAATCAGCGTTGCGCTACAACAAAAGACAAGAGAGAAGAAATATTCAGCCCTTGATGTACCTATTGAAGACATCATCTGCTCTCTCAACATAACTTAGAATAGTGTCTAATATGCAAGATTTACAAGCCTGTTCCAGTCTTGAGGAAGCCTCTTGCTTTGACTGCTTTAAATTGCCAACATCAGCTGCCTGGACATCTGAGTCATCTTTTGATGCTAATACGGCAACCAGAAAGGCAGGCTGAAGAACCAAGTAATTATAAAATGAAACAATTTCTCAGTTCCATTGTGGCAATAGTCAGAAGTTTCACCTGCTATCATACTGGAACAAGGAAGACATCGAAATCACCTGATATCTTGCTGCAACTGTTAGCAGTTTCATCATGGTGACAACAAGATCTTCATTTTGGTCCGACAGGTCAAGTAAGATACGTCTAATAGAACTTTTTAAATCCATGATCTAGAAAGGAAAATATGTGTTTCTCCTTACATCAGACTGCAGAATAAACTAGAGACACGTACAGAGATAACAAATAAGTAAGACTAATTTTAACCTGCTTATCGTCTAGACCAAAGCATGCGTTGCTCATTGGATATAGTTGTGATGATTCCGCCATGGTAAATAACCTTGAAAGTATTTTGGCAGCACCGACCTGTATGACCTGCATGAAAACAGATATAAGTATTACCAAGAGATTCCAGTTCCTTTACTTATATAAGTAGCTGGGAAACATGTACACAGTCAGGTCAAGCGTCAATGTCTAACGATGTTGGATAAAGTACATACAGGATTGCGGAAATAAGATATCAATGATGTAACTGCTGCAACAACTGGGATTGGTTTAGTTGTAGATGACAGCAAGGCTTGATGAAACACCGGAAGACCAGATTGTGTATTCTGCAAAAAGTGTTAAGTATCAACTTTCATGATGCCCAGAGTGAAATTTTTTTACCAACCTTATAAATTAAAGGAAAAAAAAAGAAGTCAAGATTTTGTACATGTATACATGTTTGCGAAACTAAAAAAAATTGTATCTTTTTAAAAATTATATCTTCAATTTCGACACAATCATTTTGCAGAGAGAGCTCAAGCATGTAAGTTTAAGCAACGACTATGTGCCTATGACTGCAAAAGCTTTAAACAAGTAGACTCATCAGCAAGACCTGGCATTTATTAGACTTTTACCTCAGAGAATTTAGAGAGTGTGATGTCAAAGACATCCAAGACAGAAGCTATGGCGAGTTGCCATCCTTCAATTTCAGATGGTTCGATAAAGCGGCTAACACAAAGTTTCTGTCACAAGAAAAAAAATATATGAGATAGAGGAAGAGTAGCCAAACCAGAAGGCCAGCAACATTAGACAGTCTACAACATTCCAAACCTCTAAAGTTTGTGTGGTTGTACAAATAATGCGAAACAGAGCACTGTGGACTGAGCAATCGTTCAGCAAAATGTCACGAACAACATCACACAGCTTCTTGGAGAATGGGCTTAGTCTGATACATGTTTTCATCACTTCAATGGCCTGTATAAACATACACAAGGCAAATATATACTTAAATGAACACCGTGGGGATCAACAGATGACCACAGCCACACCTCAATTTCTAGTTGAAAATGAGAAAAGAAAACTTTAATGTATTAGTACTAAACTAACGAATTTTATTTGTATCAATAATGGATAATCACTTGAGACTCCAGAATGAAAACTATCAATACAGAACCATCTAGATTTGACTAAACAAAACACAACAACAACAACAACACGTTTAATCCCAAGTTATTATTAAACAATATAATATCAAAATTAGAAATTTCAATACTTAAATTGGATTTTATTTCAATTTTAAAGTTGGATAATTTAAAATTGAATCCACTAAGCCGATTAAATATGTATATTTCGCTCTAGTCTGAATTTTTTTAACACTTTTATCAGGCTCGACAACACAGGGGAAAACATATTTTAGAAAGATACAACAGACAACAATGACAACAAAACTACAACCAGGACTTAAATGCAAAATGAATGTAAAAGTAAAGATATTACAAGGAAAACTGGTGAAAACTTTGATAAAATGAAAAAAGGTGAACATTTTAAGGGGTGAAACGAACATGTACATGTTGTGGCATCTATTCTCAAAGTTAAAACAAACAGTACACAGAGAGGAGCTTTTGAAAATTCAGAAGAGAGCAACAAGGCAGAGAAGGCAAGCCTCACAATTCACTCCAAAATCAGTGCAGCTGACGTCAAACCAAAACCATCACAAAAAGTGAAAGTGCAAAGGCGACTGGAAGAGAGAACACACCTTTAGTGTCACTTTCCAACGCATATTTCCTTCCTTGAATTTCCAGTACTCATGACTAACTAGAATATACTGCAAGGAGAAAACAACTAGGGCCAGAACCACATCGTTCTCCAATCCTACCTCCACAAGCTGCATTGTAAATTCCAGAACTGCATGATGTATAAGCAAGTCTCAGAGGAAAAAAAATATAGAGTGATTTCAAGAAGTTGTTCGAAGAGTGAACTGGGTTAGTTGCAAACAATAGTCCCACGAAAGTAATAAAAGCTTTAAATCCATCGCGAAGGATAAGCAGACTCTAGCCATAACAGCTGGGGATATCTCAGTCGTAAAACCACCAGAGAATAAACCACAAATTAAGGAATCATATCATACAGAGAAATAATGACTCAAGCTACAATTGTGTATTAGGAGCCAAGTGAAACATTCATGGAACAATATTTTACGACGAACTTGCCTGATATGACCAATGGACAGCTTGCATCATTCTTCTCACAGTCGATCAAGATCATCTTCACCAGTTTTCCAGACAGCAACCATGTTCCACTTTATTATTAAAAGACCAAGGAAATGGTTAGGAAATGAAGTCCGATAATCCCAAACCAAAGTTCAGCGAGAGAACAAACTCAATGTTAGATAGAAGTGATGACCCAAATTTATAATTAACCTCAACAAAACGACAAACTATACATATTCACTCCTGTAATCGGTGATGTGGCTCTAAAAATCATTTTAACCCAATCAAATTTCATTTCTATTCAGGAATAGCTCTCCAAATAAAAGCTTAAATACACAGAAATGCGGAGAATCTTAAAATGAAGCGAGCCTTTCATCAACAATAAGGATAGTTAAAAGTAGAAAATAAAATACATATAAGTTGAATTCATCACTCAGAGACACTGCCGCTACACCTTTGAAACTGGTGCGAAAGCACTTCAAAATTCAGGACAAAATTCTGTAGGTACTTTATCTTATCTGTCAAATATTACCATCTTCTTTCTTGGGGATAATCAAACGATGTTCTCAGAGTACTAAACTTCGATAAAGAACATTCCATAGCCATAAAACTGTAAAATAGAAAATAAAACCATAGATCGGGATATTTCCCATCCACCTCAAAGAAACATTGTAGCCAATGTCTAGGATGCCTGACCCTGAAGCCATGTCGAATATATTTGTCTTTAAAACAACAGCAGCAACATTTGCCGGAGAACTGCCAAAGAATACATAGAGTTAGCATCAATTTTCGACATAGGAGCAAAGTCCACGAGCAAATAATGTCACAAATTCCTACACATATTGATTAATAAAGAAGATCATCTCTTGCCTGGAAATATATAAAAGAAAAGAGTGGACGAAGGAAACAACTAAAACATAGGCTTCACAGGAATTACCATCGCAATAGCTTAGCTAAGACATCAACACCAAGTGCTGTTACAGCTGCCCCAGTAGAGTCAAGAGTCAAGCTTCTGACCAAATTGCAAATTATATCAACCACCCTGAAGGAAAAACATACAAAGATAAGATCTCTTTGGTAGCCCCGTGGAAATAGAAAACATGCAAGATAAAGCAAATTCAAGTCCTTCACCTCACATCGGTTTCCATCTCTGCACTGACATAAGACTCTTGAACACGTAAGATGTTGCTCATATTCAACAAGGAGAAACAGACAGCCTAATATCAATTTGGAGAAGTTGGTCAGATAATAATTGAAATACGGGCACAATTTCAAAAAGAAGACAGAAAAAGCCATACTACAACTCCTGATGGACAAAAGTTTATTAAATCCGGACTTCATATAACTAGTTAACAGTGAAGATAATACCATGCTATACCTTGTTATGTGTCACCATTTGATGAAGTAACTCAAGAATCATGAGCACTTCACTGTTGATACCCGAGTACAATGCATTGGCCAGACGAAGGATCAACACTGTAACGCTGGATAGGGCATACTATCCAGTAAGAGAGGAAAAGATACACAAAACAGAAGGTGTGAAATCCTAATCCAAAATTTAAGTAAGTATACCTTAAGTTAAACCAGTTGGCCGCAATAACATCATGTTAATGGATACTTGGAGAAAAAAAAAAGAGAAAAGACGGCTAAATTAGGCAAATCTTGCATGTAGATAAATTCTATGATTGTAGGGTAATTAACTGAAAATCTGGACAAGACTGCACATACCTCCCACCGTACAACGCCAGTATTCTCACTGACCATTTTCAGAATACGCCCATGAGTTTTACTGGGAACAATCACACCTTCAAGACCTGGAACATGCAATGGGCGGGATGATTCAACAATTTGGCAGACGTCATCCACCAGAGAGCAACTACTTAGGTCGGATAAGGTTGATATCCCAACTGATTTATCCAGAAAGTTGTATCTGCTCAGAGAAGGAAAGACAAGAATAAACACAACAGATAACTGCGTAACCGCCATAACATATTATCGGCAACTCGCAAATAAGAAACCTTTTCATTCAGTAAAATAAGAAAGGCAAAACCAGATTGTTGTGTGTAGGATACCATGCTTTTCAGGAACCCCCCCCCCCCCTTTCGATCTATATATAATTTTTTGTTTATGTGAAATTCCATATTTAAAAAAAGCACATAACTGACAAGATCCTCCGCTTTCAACTTACACGCATTCAGCAGGCCAACTTCCTTCACAAAGGGATAACAAGAGACGGATATATTCAGCCACTCTAAAGGGGAATTCAGACTCCAAATCGCAGAGAAGACATCGTATAGGACCATCAACAAAACTTTTCCTGTCCCAAAATTGAATACACAGAGACTCCTGAACAGTCAATGGACACAATGAATGTTAATGAGCTTATAACCATTACAAGAAACAGTGTGGGAAGCAAGCTTTAAAACCATGCATCCATACCTCTCCTTTATATACTCTGCAAAGAATCTCCAGTATCAAATTTAGGATGCTATTTTCTAGCTGCAAAAAGTGCAGAGAACTGTGTGACTAAAAACATTCCTTAGACAACAATTCAACATGTACAATAGAGGAATTTACCTGAAGATTGATCTCATAAGATGCAATAAATGCTGAAATAAAGGTCCTCAAGACACTACGATAACCAGCAACTGGTCCCTGGGAAAATCAAGAACAAAACTGGACTATATAAAATAAAGGAAAGGACGTCACGAAACAGACTTACAGAGATAAGGGGAAATAGATGTCCCAACACTAAAGTTAAGTTCCAGAACAGAAGAATTTGAATCCCATTTGAATCCCATGACTTACATCTGACTCCTTCAAGACATTGCTTTGCAGAATTTCAAGGAAACAACTCAAGGATGCAGCTTCAAAGGCTTGATGAACATAGCCGACATGATTGATCTCCTGTTTTTCAATTGAGAGTAAATACATACATCAACATAACAAGTGATCTGGCCTGATATAGAAGTATTCTCATTCATATACCATCAGTAAAGGATTTTCCTCCTTCCCAGGAAGTGATGAAATAAGACAGAGAAACACTGCCCATGCAAGGATGAGGGGTCCTGCTTCTTTTGCTTCAGATGTGTTAAGGCTGGAGATAGCTGCATCCATCTCTTGGACATCAGTTATAGAGAAAACACATGAACCCGACCTAAAACAAAAGTAGTCCCTTTAAGCAAGATTGACAAAAGTTCAGGTAGAAGAAGGAACGGAAAAACTATGCTAATGTATCCTCTCTTCAATTTTTTTTAACTTTCTTCCGCATAGCATATCTCAAAAGTTAGAAACCTAAAAGGCACTCCATCATGGACCATTTGTAGAAGATTTTCCAGGTCGAGTGTTTCCAAAAGAATCATCAATAACTGAATCTTTGCATGATATGCAGAACGTTGTGCTTCAGCTGACACTGCTAGCTTCCCAAAATTATAAGAACCTGAAAGAAAACCCTGCAAGGTTGCCGTTATAAGTAAAGATAGATTCACTCAAAATTCATAAACGGTGCCCGACATATGGATAAGGATTCACAATACCTTGTACAAGGAACAAAGTTTTCTCCAACTTTCACCGTTGCAAGTGCAAAATGATTCGTAGTAAACAATGAAAAGAATATCCAAAACCAAATTGTCCTCAATTATCGTCTCCTCAGCCCACAAAGTAAACAAATCAACATCCTAGGAAAAAAGTTGTAGGCAAACATCAAATTTGGGCCTGAAATGTCATTGGGAATGATAGTTCAATTTTTTTTACATCAACATAAGTCAGTGATTGACAAATGTAAAATATTACTTCCATGCTGCATACCATCTTTTGCGGATAACTAGATGACAGAAGGTTCTCGAGCACTGATGTTTGTTTTCTTTCAAGCCCATCAGATATCAGTTTTAGTGCTTCCTTGTTAACAGCTGTTTCCTCTTTCGCATGAATTCCTGCATCTGTATATACTGCATAAATTATGCGAGTATAAGCAGAGAGTTGGAACATAAAAAGAAGAACGCACAGCATATCAAAAGAAGGAAAAATCAAAACAAAAATATAAGAATTTTTTTTTTCATTGATGGCACATGAATTTACAAGCCTGTATTTGACTCCGCATTTGCTACTACTAAAACCATAAGAAAAAAGGCAGTAAGAAAATTTACAACTTACAAGAATGTTCAAGAATACGCCTTGTACACTTAAGCAGGCACTGTCTCTCTATGTAATATTGCAGTGATATCTTCATAATAGCATTATGACAATAACAGAACGAAGAGTTAGTGAGGCAGCTAAAAGGGGGGAAGGGTGCTTGGAATATATGTGAAAGCCAGTTGCCAAGAACTAGTACAAAAAAGTCTTAGCATCACACGCTAAAAATGTTTTTCTAAGAAATTCTTAACTATGATAATAAGGACAACAGCTTTTAGAGGTAAGAAATAATGGGAAAATTCGTTAGCTACTAACTTGTGTGAATATTACTATTGTAAATTGCAAAGAATAATCAATATCAGACAGTAATTAGGATCTTCTGAAAGAAAACTTCCAACCCCATGAATGGAGACAAAGAAAACAGCTTTTGTAGAAATTCTGACGATTTTATATGACCGACAAATTACTGGAATTATATTGCAGCAACGAAAAAAATATATTCCAAAAGGGGACGACGTCCCAATCCAAAAGCTACTGACCATGTGAATAAATTCTTGAGCTGTTGTATCAGTTGCCATGTACTCCTGCTCCACAGATCGTTCCGCAAGTATGTATGATTGGATTTCATCTAGATTCTAGATAGAAGTCAGGAAATTAGAAGTAAATCATCATTAGGGCGCACATTTTCACCCGGGAGACTTCTAAGTATACACTCAAACTTCCACAAAATCACGATCACCAAATGTATGCCAAATCATCGATTTTTATTACCAACCGGTTATTAGTAACCAAGTAAGCATCTTCACTTATAAGACTCCTAACCATGCACTCGAACTTCTATCAAATCACCTATATGACTAACACGTCCCAAGCTAAAAGAAAAGGAGCTATATCGAGTAGGTTGGTGATTACTCCCTAGTACCTGTATCACTGAACACTGCCCAACACAACTAACAAAAAATTATAGTCGGTTTTCTTTAAAGTTCAACTGAAACTTGAGAATCAACGAGAAACTAACCAGGTAAGAGCTGATTCTAATGGCTTTTTCTTTTATTTCGGGTCTTATCAACAATTCATGCTCCTTAAATTTCAGAACATCCGAATTCAGCGCCTCTTTCGACTTCTCATTAGGCGGCTTGAACATAGAGAGAGTGCCCACGAACCACGAATGGTTTTCCTTCAACTTGTTCACCTGAAATTCCAATTCCTAATCGCTATAGCCCCATAATCTCGGAAAAGAGCTCACACAGGCGAATGCATAGATAGAGATAGATTACCAGAGGCTGAGGGAGGTCGCCGGAGAAAGATGCATTTTCAAGATCGGTGAGAAGCGAATCAAAGGGGTCCCACCAGAGAGAAGGATCGACGGCTTTAGTCTTCGCCATTGAAGGACCTCGGTGGAGAACAAACCAGCTCCGAAGAGCTTAAACCCTAGAAGAGAGAGAGAGAGAGAGAGAGAGAGAGAGAGAGAGAGAGAGAGAGAGAGTGTGGTTAGAGGAGAGAGAGAGAGAGAGAGAGAGAGAGAGAGAGAGAGAGTTTGGATTTTTTATTTTAGGCGCTTTGGGGGAAAAAGATATTTGGAAAACGTATTCTATGGATATAATGGGCCAAAACCCATTCTCCGACCCATATCATTTGGTGAATACAAAGCTGTTATTATATACGCATCCAATTGACTTATGGGCCGCCAAATTTTCTGGAAATCCCTAATTATTATTATTATTATTATTATTATTATTATTATTATTATTATTATTATTATTATTATATACACAGGTGCGATAAAACCACATCCTGATCATTCATTGGGAGAGAATCCGACAAAGAACAATCAGATTTCATTATTTGAGAGAGAGTTGCACGAAGAAACAATTACAATATTATTGCTTAAATGAATATCCACACAACATTAGGAAAAATCACAAATACATTAACCAATGGTTTTACCTCCATGCACACGTACGCATATATAGATATAGGCACACTTATTATGTATAGATATGTATGTATCGTCGTTTAGCTCTCAAGGGTGGGAAGGGAATGGCGGCAAGGGAGGCCATTTCCCGAATTTGGGGTGGAAAGGAGGAAGCTTCGGAAACGGGGGACACGGCTTCTTCGGAATCGTAATCGGCGGCGGAAGCACTACCGGGGGTTTTATCGGAGGGCACGGCTTCTTCGGTATCACCGGCGGTGGAGTCACCACAGGTGGCGGCTTGTACACCGGAACCGGCGGAGGAACCTCCTTCTTCGGTGGGCATGGTTTCTTCACCGGCGGAGGTTTGTAGACCGGAACCGGCGGTGGAAGCACTTTCTTCGGCGGGCAAGGCTTCTTCACCGGCGGAGGGGTTGCCTTTGGAGGGCAAGGGAGAGGGAAAAGGTGGTGGAAGCCTTTGATGGGAGGAGGCCAATTGAACTTGGGGAAATGCCAGAAGAACTTGGAAACACAAGTTTCCGGTGAAAATTTTAGATTTTGTCTAAGACCCAGCACGTGTTTGTCGCCGGCTTTCGATAAAAACACGATCTTGGATGATTCGAGGCCGTCGACGGCTGGGCATGGCGTGGCGGCAGCGCTGTGTAACTGAGCGTAGCAGTCCTCCGTTAGGGTTCCGTCATCTCTAACGATGTTACGATCATTATTCATAGAGACGGTGAACTTCCCGTTTCCGTCTAGTTTTCCGGTTCCTCTAGTCGTGAAATGGCCTGTCTCGGCTTTACACTCAATGCTCACTCCAAGTCCTGTACGATTTCCGTTAAATGCAACATCTTACATAACGTATACATACTTGTGTTTCTAGAAGATGGAACTATATATGTGAATTATGCAACAACCTACGTAAAATGCTTCAGCTAATTCACTAGATACAAACGTATGTAGGGTTATGAATTGATACATGAGCTCGTTATCACTCCATAACAATGGTGTGTGTCCATGTATACTTGAAATTCAAAGCTTTTTTCTAATACGAAAGACCGGGAAGGAGAATTATGACGTATATATATACACATTGCATAGTTATATAGCGTATACATATACAACATATATAAAAACGTAAGGGAAGAAAGGTAAAGAGTACCAGAGAAAACATGGGAAGTCTTGAGACTATAACTCTCTGCATGGCCGACAACCTCAACAACACGGCCGTGACAGAGAATGGAGGAACAGAGCGCTGAGAGGAGGAACCACAGCACAGTTCCTCGGGTTTCCGGCAAGATCCTCATTTGGACTCCGACGCAATTGCAAAAATAAAAGGATATAAACCCGTTATGATAGTATAGAGGAGGAGGAGGGATATGAGTAGGTCGAGGTTGGCTAGCTCTATATATAACGGTGTGATGCGAGGGTTCAACTAAATTAATAACCAAGCCCCATGATCTCAATTCATTTGGAATGTTGTATATTCTTAATGGCATACGAGGGCTTTAAACCTTATATGTTTCTAGTTACGATTATTACTTTTTTTTTTTTTTGCAGGGTTGCTTAGTATTTTCGATGATACTATAAACAAATGAATGAATAGATGGGTTAATTAAAAACCAAATGGAGGAGGGTCTACCAACGACCACGAATTGAGGAGGATCACATGATGGTTAGAGGAAAACTTAACTCATATGAAAAAGATGTGCATGTGTTCCCCCTCCTCCCTTACCATCTCCATCACAATTATCCTCCATGCATTGATTCATTATCACCCTCTCGATATTAAAAAAAAAGTACTCGGACGTCTTGGGATCAGATTAAGAAAAGCTTGTATGGTTCAAAATCCAATACGCCATATATCCTGTCAAAATTGTAACCAATATAGCTATCAGAACAGATATTTGTATCTATACAGAGAGAGAGAGAGAGAGAGAGAGAGAGAGAGAGAGAGAGTAATTTAATGGAATGGGTTGGTTTAGGCGGCAGAAGTTGAAATGGAGATCGGTCTATTTGTGAGTGAGCTAGCAAAGCAAATGGCCTGTTGTCACTGTCCATGACCATAAAAGCAGCCAGCTCAAAAAGCCTATACAGTCTCCTCATCTTATTATTTATTCCGGTTTTAATTTTGACCGATCCATATGTGAAGTCCATGCTTCCACATAGCTTGGGAGTTACTTGCGCAAAACACACACACGTAAAGCAAAAAACCTTCTCTTCTTAAGATCAAGAAAACTGCCTAGGTCCGAGGGGGGGACAGAAAGAGAGTTAACTTATGGGTGTTCCACGTGAGAAGTATGTATAGATAACCCCAAAAAAAAAAAAAATACAAAGAAGAGAGTCTAAATGCTACAAAATACTGAAACCCCCCCAAATCTGGCCGTTTGCCAAGACATGGTTAAACTGTATTTGCCCCGGATTTGCCAACCTCCTCGTGTCAACAAACCCGCAGCATCTGATTCAGTTTTTCTTCTTCGATTTCCCCGAGGACGACTTGGCGAGAGAGGTTCCCTGCAACATAACGGGTTTCACAGGGATAGAGCAATGGAATTTATCAGTCCAAGTCCAGGGCAAAGAGACAGGCTTCACTACCCCATTTTCGGGAATTTGAAACAACAAAATACGGACAATATTTTAAACTATTATCGATAAAGGTAACATAATGTATTTTTATAAGAATTGGTTGAGTTTCTAGTGTATGAAGATGAAAAGGATGGAAGATGGAGTTAACAGACGTACCTCGAGCCATTCATCCAGTGAAGCATCTACACTCCTGGTTCCTACTTCAACCTTTGCCACCTTTTTGGTTTTCTGGTAAACAAATGTTCAATGCATCAGACCGAGTATTCCTCTTTTCATGTTACCAGCACAAATTAATCAAAGCAAGTGAAAATATATAGTTTGTTCACGACCCGGTTGGTCACATTTTCGATTATTGGAAAGCAAAGGTGATTACTTTGCAGTCGGTTTCAGTTCTACTTAACCATATTTTAGAAGCATGGTGACTGTCTTGACCAGATAACGGTACCTTGGTGAGACGCTGTACTTGGCTATGGACCCACACGCCAAGGAGGAGAAGTAGAGCAATGCCAAGGACGACAAGGAACACAGATTCACTGCTGACGAGACTACCAGATTCAACAACCTCGATGGTACCGTTGTAGAAGACACTCTGGTAAGGCTGTTCGTCTATCTCATAGATAATGGTTCCCACGAGATCAAAAGTGCCAGGCTACAAGTGATACTCAACAAGTATTAGGTTCAAAACTTTTTGGCCATCCCTATTCTGGAGTTGTTTTCAGAATTATTAAGGCGAATAATGCGACATGTATCATGTAATATATACCTGCAGGAACTTGCTGACTGCAAAGATGTATGGGAAAGTAGCCTGAACAGATGTTGGGATGGATGCGTTGTTGAAGCTCTGTAGAGAAAAAAAAAATATAACAGAGACTCTTTATATAACAAAGTAACAATATTGTTTACCAACAAATACATCTGATCAAAGAATCCCCAAGAAACTAATCAGTTGAACCTTTATGAAAAGCAGTAAAATTCAGCTGTACTCAAATGACTGACAAACCAAATGCGGTTGATGTAAGCTAGAGACCTCCTTTCTAGTGTCTAAGCCTAATATCCGCATATGCTATGAATCAACTGCACATTTTGTCAAGAATCGAGCAATCTGAACCTTATTTCTTTGGTAAGAGGGTAATGCATCCTGCATTATGCAAGGGAGAACTTACCAGCATGGTTAGATTTTGAACCAGCAATTGGTGATCAAAAGGAAGATGAAGGCTGGCCTTGATTCCAATAACACCGACGGCTGACTGCCCTATTATTTGAAACAACGGGTAAGAGTTAGATTTTTAAGCCAAAAGAGAATCTAAATGCATACCAGTGTATAGCTAACATGGATTTAATTACCATCATTTTTTAGACCAACAAGAAGTTCAGTCTCTTCCCCAGCTGAAACCACTGCAAAAGAACATATTCACATACAACTTTCAAAATCCCCATGGTCACTAAAAAGAGCAGAGAAACATGAGGAAAATAGGTAAATTTCTCTACATTTTGCACTGTTTTTCGGGAAAACACAGACTGTTTCAATTCCCGGAGCTGAGCTCAAGACCACATCAGCAACATCCTGCTCATCATCCCCGATAACCCCAACTTCACCGCCTTCTTCGACAGAATCTCCAACAGTGTTGGCTGGATCCTCGGAGTTTGATTGGCATCTAGCAACTGATAGAAAAAAGGAACACAACTCATTAAGACACAGTCATGATAAATTTATCACTCCAAGAACGAAGGTGCAGAACAAGCAGTTCATAAGTGGATATCTAAAATAGCTAGTTAATACTTAAAGCACTCTGGAGGAATCAATAAACAGAAACATGCCCAAAACAAATCACCCAAAAAATAGAAATCGCCTTTCCGAGGAGTTTCTGTCAATGTAAAGTGTTTCCTGAACTCTTCCCACAGCTATATCCCAGCTTAAAATAGGAACTTTCACCTCAAAGAGTGGTCTTTAAACACTTTGAAAATGCTAGAAAAATAAGTCCCAAATTTGAACCTTTTTGGCTTTTCCTGTCTCAGAACCAAGATAAACGCTGAATGCACAAATACCCAGGCGCAGTTTACGACTCTATTGATGACACAATAGACGAATCAACGAAACTATAAACCTACATTCGATCTACAAACAAATGATGCAGAAGATACGAAAACAGGAAAGCCATCGAAGAGGTATCTATTCCCAAACCACAATGCTTAACGGCTCCACATCACGGGAATCAGCGACATAGACCAGGCCATAGAAAAATTCTCACGCGAACTCAATTTCAACGCAACCGATCCCGACAATAACGCACATCGGTAACCCTATCAGATCCATATCCGAAAAAGATCAGGCTGAAAGAACAAACATGCAGGAGAGACAAATCATAAACTAGGACAGAGCCAACGAATCAAACGACATGGCCACAGAATTAACCAGATCTAGATCTAATTAGGGAGAAAAAAAAGCAACTGGGGGAGAGAGAAAAAGAGGAGGAAACCTTGAAGTAGAGGAGATGCAAGGAGAAGAAGAGCAAGGAACAAAACCCTAAGAGTCTTCATCGCCGTGTACGCCGAGGACAGAAAGATGAGAGAGCCTGGAGCTTGGGTTTCAGGTCAATGAATGAATGTGCTAACAAAATTGTCTCGGATGGCATTTTATTGTGTTTAGAATTTTGTACAACGCAAAAAGAATAAAAAAAAACGATGATAAACTCAAACAAAAAATCTCATTTCGTTTTACATTAATTTTATATTTATTATAAAAATCTCATTCCGAAAAAACCATCTGCTAATAAATTTGATCAATTACATATAAAAAAATTATTTTAAATTTATTATAGAAATTCATCGAGTTTTTGTTTTAAACAAAATAAATCACATTTTTATTTAATTTTAAAAATGTATATTATCTTTTATATAATTAATTTATATATAAATTATACATTATATAATATTTTAATTATTATTAAAAAAATCAAATTGTTAGTGTGTAACATTTAAAATAAAAAGATTACAATATAAATTCTGTAATCAAGAAAACATACATAATTTTAAATATAATATTGGTATGTAAATGTATCAAGTAAAGAATGATGTTTATAAATACAAAAGGTTAGAATGAACCAAATGCGATAGATTATAGGCAAGAGAAATGCAAAAGATCATAACATATTCCACGAGATTAACTAACAGGTTTTCAGAACAAGAGAGCTGCAATCCTCTGTTCTCTACATTTATTTCATATATCTCCGTTTCCACGACACCAAAAATAGAAAAGAAGAGCGTTTTCTGTCAGTGGCAAATCAAGCCGCAACTTTCTTCTCCACAGCGGAGTTCACGATCGCAGCAAACTCCGGACCCTATTTACACGGATTAAAGAATGACGAAATATCTCATCAGATTCAAAGAAATGGTAACCTAACCTACACGCGACAAAAGGATCTTGATATTACAGCATGGCGTTAACACAATGTGAATCACAACAAACCTTTGCGCTTTGAAGGGTAATAAAAAGGCAAAATACCCATTTCAGTAAACAATCAAACGTCCTGAAGAGGGGAACTTACCTTCAAGGAGGCACCCCCAACCAGAAATCCATCAATGTCTTCCTCCTTGGCAAGCTCACTACAATTCCCTCCATTCACAGAGCCTAGAAACCAAAATTGATTCCAGCAACTATCAGAACGACCCAGATGTCGGAAATCAATTCTAAGTTACATATGTACGTAAGTATAGAATAATCTGTAGCAAGCGGGGCACCTCCATATATGATCCTTGTTTTAGAAGCGACTTCTTCGGAGACATTCTTTTTGAGCCAATCTCTGACTGCCACATGAACCTCCTGAGCTTGCTGAGGCGATGCCACTTTGCCAGTTCCGATAGCCCAAACAGGCTCGTATGCTACAACTATGTCATCCCAACTCGGCACAGCATCTGAAACGTCGACACGTGAAATCAGAGTTAAAGTGACTTTGCCAATATAATGGTGAGGCAGAGTTAGAACATTAACCCTAATGTCTATACAACTAAGGAAACCAACAACGTATTTTTAAACAAACCTGCATCTGGAAGCTGATGTGTATGGTTTCAAATGCAACATGTGATCATAAGTTATTGCGCAAAATTACACAAATCGCAACTGCTTGGTACTTCGCTGATAATGGATCATACTCATGATGAATCAAACCCAGAGACTCGTTAGAAAATAAATGAAGCCTAAGACAGCATACCAGCAAAAGCCTTCAATTGCTGAAAGCAAACATCGAAAGTCTTCCCCGCTTCCCTCTCTTCTAGCTTTTCCCCTATACAAGCAATCACTCCAAGACCCTCGCTCAAAGCATAAGCAGCTTTCTTCCCAATAAACTACGGATCGGTTGAAGTAAAAGCAAACAACCATAATAAGTCTTCAGAGGCTTTCTCAGTGACAGATTGGTTCACAACTATTTATTTACTTACCTCATCATTTTCTCCAATGACATGTCTGCGCTCAGAATGTCCGAGAATGACCCACTTGCAGCCCATATCTTTCAGCTGTTCCACACTGCATGATGAACACGACTTTTAGAACCCAAAATAAGTTCAGAAACTGAAGCTATAAGATGTACTCTTTTGAAAAGGCTTAATTAAATGCTCTAAATGGTCAATCTTTAGGGATGTATTTTGCATTCCTAGGCCAAAATGACAAAATATATGTTTTAGGCAATCTCTCTGCCACGGAAACATAAACTTCTCGGTGAGTGTAAGATTTTAACCTGATTTCACCGGTAAAAGCTCCACCTTTTCCAACCCATGAGTTTTGAGCTGATATCTCAATGCGGTCTGTCAGTGAAGATTTGACCTGGTCTATGTAGACAAACGGAGGCGCCACAACCACATCTATCAAGATACAAGCGAGCAAGATTGATACAGAAGAACAGTCAGGATCATAGATTCTAAAGTTAAAAGGATGATCGAGAATATCATTCCCACTAAAAACGCAAATGGGTGAATTTGATACTAAAAAGGGGAACAGAGTTTAAAGAATCAGGGGAAAAGATGAACATTCTGAGCTAGAGCAGCAGTATTGCTTCTACAGTATATTCCTTTTGTGAAGAAGCTACAAAGGATTCTGATACGAAACAGATAATGCAAAAAGGAATTTTTGCGGTAGGCAATGAAGAAGAGAAGAATCGAGCGTCTCACCTACATTGGTTTCAAGTTTTGCATTGTTAAGGTCGGAGACAAGCTTGGTGATGGAGTCCTTTGTCCCGTTCTAAACATGCAATGTACAATAAATTTATACACAATACACACGAGAAAAGAAGGGACGAGCCACAGATACTTACGCATTTCCAGTTTCCTCCAACAAAAAACTGCAAGAACGAAGTAAAAAGAGTTCAAACATGAGACATGTCAGTCATCCAGACCCGCCAGCAAAAAAGTTTGAAACTTATATTCAGAAACATCTATTTTGTTAAAAACCCACAAATTTTTGGATTAATTAGGTTTCATGGTCCGGTGATGAACCTAAAACGCAATACAATTAGGCTTTCATCCTTTGAGAATTCGTAGTTTCACCGATTAAATTTTACAGAATCAAACAATTTCTCAGACTTGAACAGAAGGAGAACAGAAGAAATCACCTTTCCAGTTCCCGCCATGGCGACGACGCCTCTCGGAGGCTGGCGACACGGAGAAGATACGAGCCGGAGAGACGAATTGGAATGGTGGACGAAGGAGACGACGGCATCGGAACGTCGGAGGCCGGAGAAAGTGGTGCCGCCGGAGATTTGGGCAGAGAAAGAGGGGGAAACCACCGCCATTGCCGGAGAAAGAGGTGGAGGGTCAGTGTGCGAGTAGTGTCGAAGAAGTGATGGAGACGAGACGAGATGAGACTGCGCAAAGGAAAACGGATACCACATAAGAGGAGGGGAAGAGCTCAAGTGGGTATATTAGTAGTAGGAGTGGGTAGGAGTGGACGATCCGGCGGGTTTGGCTAAGTTCGGTTATTTCGGGTTCAGTTATTTTAGATTTGAAATATTTATATCTAATCAGATATTTTTTTTAATCGGATCAGTTTGGGTTCGGATCAGTTTGGATCGGGTTCGGTTCGGTTCGGATTATCCAACTTATCTTATAAAAATAACAAAAACAACATTAAAATACATCCATATTTGATTTTTTATATACCATGGTTATAAAACAATATAATTATATTAATTTTTCTAATTAGATTTAGAATATATTACATATTAATTGATGATATATGGATGGATAAACAGATATATTCGGTTACAGTTAATTCGGGTTGGGTTTATTCGGTTTATGATTATTTCGAATTCGGATATTTTGTCCACCTCTAATTAAGTAATTAGAAGAATAATTTTAAATCAATTTCAATTACAAGGCATATCCTTAAAATTTTAAAATCTAGAGTTTAAAAAACAAAACTAAAAAAGAATTAATGTTGTTTTGCCGACCAAGCCTGGGTGAAGAACAGACGGTCCGACCGATCAATATTGTTTTGCCGGTTGAAGTTGATGGTGTAAATGTGTAGCTTTCGGTATATATACTTTCACAGATATGAATTAGTGGGTTTGAACCCATTTTATTTATCGTGTCAAAATTTTCTAAACAATAAGATCTCTAGTCTCTTTCTATATAATTAAACTTAATAATATAATTCTCACTTTTTGTTCTGTTTTTTTCTCTAAAAAATTAGGTTATACACAACCTTTTTTTACTCTTTATTTTATGTCTATTTTTTAATATTTCATCTCTCTCAATTCTCTAAAAAAAATCACAATAACATTGTTATTATGAAAACAAAAAAATAGTCATATTAAAGGTAAATAAGTTTTTATGATGTGTTATAAACTGACGAGTTGTATTTGACAGAAACAAAATTTACAACTTTGAAGAGCATGTTTGTAGAGAGGCGTTCATTCTTTCTCCCACAGATTCTAAAAAGACCGCTACTTTCGGACCAAAGTTCAGCAACAACAAAATCTGACCTGGTATTCACTTACACTATGTCTGTATGTACGTGTAAAAAGTAATATGGTAGAAAGGCTTTTCACAAGATTTGTCTGTGATGGAATTGTAGGCTGAAGGTGAGGGAGATCGCTGGACCCTAGTTAACTTCATGACCTTTGCATACACACAGTAAGAACAGATTCTTAGAGACTTGTAAAAATTCGATTCTTAGAGACTTGTAAAAATTATAACCGGTAGCTTTAACGAATGTATGTTCTTCCTAAGTCGTGTTATCAGTCTCTTCTTCATGCGAATTGTGTCTTCCAGCTGTGAAATGAGAAGAAAAGGAGGGTTTGAGTTAAACAGAAATTAGATAGAAAAGGCATTAGAGTATTTTACTATAGACCTATCCTCGTTGCTTGATTGAAGAGACGATTCAAGCGCCTTTATTTTGGCATCCTTCTCCTGACACTCCTCTTTGATAGAAGAAAGAATGTCTTCCTCTTTCACATTATTGAATTGTACCAAAACACAAAATAACTCATCTTATTCAAGAGCGGGATTACGGGAAACATTTTCATGTTCTGTGAATCTGTGACCGTCGTATGTTGTTTTTGTTGGATTTTTGTGCGAATTCGGGACGCGAACCGTGGAAATATGAACGCTGGATTTGAGCAGTGTCTCTGCCACACATCCTTTTAGGTTTTTTATATTGGTGCAATTAATTGAGGTTGTCAAATTAGCGCCAATGTCCCGAGCACACTCAACAACATTTGGTTGATTATCTTAAATTCTCAACCATGGTCCAATATTTCAAATACTAGGCAAGACATGCACGATGCGCGGGTTGTTTATTTTTGTATATATTGATTATTTGTTTAAAAAATTTGATGATATAAATTGAAAGTATATATATATATATATATATATATTATTTGAAAGATAACGATTTTTTCAATTATATTGATTGACACTTAAATAAAACATTGAAAACTTACTTGTAAATTGAGAACAATTTTCAAAATTGATGATACTATTTGTTAATTTGATTATTCTACAACGATACTATTCGTAAATATAATTAGTAGATAAATAGTAATGTTTTAATATTTTAATTGTTTTAACAATATTATAATCTGTTTGTCATAAATTTGATCATTATTTTTTTTTTCCGTCCATATTTATCGATTTAAAGTTCGTAATTCGATATTGCATAACATTTTAGATATTTTAGATATTTGGCAGGTATAAATATTTTTAAAGACCAACATATGAAAAGTTAGAGAATATTAGAGATAAATATTTGTGGGTTGATATAAATAAATTTATATAAAATTCTGAATTTGGCTTTTTATACATTTTCTTACATTATAATAATAATATTCCATATTAAATATTTTAAATATATTTTATAAAATAAATTTATTAAATAAAGGTGTTCAATGTTTAATTCTATAATATATTTTTTTATTGTTTAATTCAACATTTAAAATGAGTACAAAAGAAATAACATAATGAAGAGAATATGATGAAACTTTTTTGAAAGTTCGCGATCTTAGACTATTGTTTTACTTAAAATGTTGGAAAATTGTTCTTTAGTAATTACTAAAATATATTTTTAAGAGTTTTAATATCTACAACAACAAAAAAATATCAGTTTATTTATCAATGATAAGATGTTGTGGTATAAATATATTCATAATTTTTCTTTGGTAACATTAAAAACGTTATCATCGATCTTTCAAGTAGTTTTCATAAAATGAATTTTCGTAGAACTAATATGGAATTTTATCATTCGTAAACTTATATATCATTTGTTGTTTGGTATAATTTTTAAATCACTAATTAAAAATATATGAAATACTTTTCTTAGTTTTTTGTCCTAATAAACATATAAAAAATTATATGTAGAGTTTACATATAAATAAATTTTCTTAATTATCGATGAATTTTGTTGTGATTTTTCTCAATGATTCTTTTACAAATTTCATCTAAATTCAAAAATTTTACAAATATGTGTTTTTAAATTTTATAAATCATTTTTCTAAAATTTGTAATTTTTATTATCCATAAATGATGTTTCTATACTAAAAAAATTAAATTTAGGATTCAATATCTACGGAGACCGAAATATAATCAAATGATAGAAGAAACATGTATCATCAATATTTTATTTATTTATACATAAAAAATAATGTATATGAAATATCTTATAACTATTTATAATTTACATAACTTATATGTATTATAAGATTCGTGTGTGTGGGGTTGGAGATAGGTATACGATATTTTTATAGCATGAATAATGAGATAGAAGAAGTGAATTGCATATTGAATGGCTAATAAATTAGGCTTTGTACAAAGAAATACCTCTCGGTGTTGGTGGGTAAAAATTATTTATACAGTTTCCAATTTAATGATCTTAATAAATTACCATTTGTTATCCAAATTAATTATCTTAACTAATCCATCTTGTTACACCACCAATCAAATCGAGGCGACGTGTATTCATGTTAGTAGCAATGCTTTATACAAACATATTTCATTTGTTTTTACAAAAAAAAAAAACACATTTCATTTATGGTTTACCATTTTCCATTTTCGCATATTCCTTAATATAAATTATAAATTATAAATTTACATTATTTGAATTAATTTTTATTTTATGTTTGATTCAATTTTAGTTTGAGAATAATGAAATCAAACCATATGATTTCTTGGTTATGATAAAGGCTATACAATTTATTATTGATTATAACATAATTATGTTACTAAAATAATAATATTACGACAGCAAAAAAGAATAAATTCCAATGAAGTTATTTCGTAATAATCTTACCCATTTTTGCTTTAATTATTTTTTAATCTTTTACTTACTAAATTCCAATGATGTTTTAGAGTGTGACTCGTTCTTGGTTTAATGACTTTTTTTTTTAGTTATTAAACACCAATAAACACATGATAAGGAAATAATAATAATAATAATTAGGAAAAAGAATAAATGTGATTATTAATGGTTGATAAATACCACGTTTGTTACCCTTTTCTGTTTTATGTTTGTAAATGATAAATATTATTTATTTTTTAATACACCATAAAATATTATCTTTTTTTGATAAAAGCTTCCATTAATTCAAGGGGTAAAAATACATAGTGGGACTGTCATACCCTTACATATATAATCCAAAAGAGTAACCCGCCCTAGAAACCCAGCAGAGAATTAAACTCATGTCAAGGTAAAAGTGTCAAATAGTTGAGTATGTAGTGAACCAATACTGGAGACACAGACTAGCAAATTCTGGAGCTGAAAATCTAAGAGCCACCACCCTAGTGCGGAAAACACGATCAACCTCCCTAATCAGTGTAAGGCAGTCAGAGAAGTGTGACATGTGGATTCGATGGTTCCTCTCTCTCCACAGCAAGTATGTGAGGATCTGCCAAATGGAGAGTGCAGTCCATTTCCTAACCTTACAACCACCCAAACTACGAAGTAGGTGTACAACTTCAGACCAAGAGGGGTTAATGGGTAAATGTACCAGTCTTCCTAGTGTTGCCTCGATTGTGACAGAGGAGAAAGAGCAAAGAAAGAAGATGTGATCCCTTGTTTCTTCTTGATCATGACAGAGAAGACAGCGGGGATCCACGGTAAAACCCCATGAGATCATTCGTGACCTCGTGGGGCAACGATTCAGGTTTACCAGCCAGCAATTAAAAGCAAATTTGGGAATGTGATGCTTATGCCAAACTAGATCAACCCAAGGGACAGATATACCAGATGCTGAGATAGAGTTCCGGATCTCTTTCGACGAAAATTCTGATCTTGGCTTTCCCCCGACCTGCCAAGACACCGAATCAGGGTTGTCAGATAGTTCAATAGAGGCGAGGTAGATGGCAAGTTGCATCGCAGTTTCTGATCTGGGTGAGGGTAGTAGCCAGACGCTGTTGGAGTAGACATCGGCAACCATGGCTTGTAGTGGAATACCCAACTGCGATGACCCTCCCCTTCCAAAAAAGTGGATCAATGGACCCATAGGAGTCCAAGGGTCGAACCAGAATCTGGTGTCTTGCCCATTTCCTAACTGAGAATGGAAGAAAGACACCGCCCAGGGTCTGAGTTTTAGGAGTTTCCTGAATGTCCATGACTGACTCTGCTTGCTTCTCACCGACCAGAAGGAGTCACGAGACAAGTATTTTTGTTTCAGCCATCCTATCCATAGAGATCCTGATTGGAAGAAGAGACTCCAAATGAGTTTGAGGCCCGAAATGTCGTTAGATAGAGACAGATTCCTGATTCCAAGTCCCCCCTCCTTCCGCGGTTTCACAATGTTTTCCCAAGCAACTCTTGCTCCTCCAGCTGGCTCCACTTTCCCTTTCCATAAGAAAGCAGAACAAAGAGAATTAATCTGTTTTATGGTACGCTTGGGGATTATAAACGCGTTGCACCAATAGTCAATGATCCCGGAAATGACTGAGTTAAGGAGTTGCAACCGGCCTGCAAAAGAGAGACATTTGGTGGACCATGTCTCTATTCTATTCCTGATTTTTGTGATGAGTGAAAGACAATCGTTGGCCGTTAGTTTCCTAGAAGATATGGGTATCCTAGGTAGCGAAAAGGGAAATTTGAGTGGGCAATGCCAGTGAGCAAAGACATGTGACGAATCTGGTCCGACGAGTAACCTCCAGCATAGAGGCTCGATTTCAAGCTGTTTATACGGAGGCCTGAAATCTCGGTAAAAGTGTCAAGCAATCCGAGTAACGAGTGTAGTGATTCATCTGAACCATCAGTGAAGACGAGTAGGTCATCTGCGAATCCAAGGTGGGTAACTCCCAAGTCTCGACAGCCTGGATGATAACCCAAGCGGTTCGCAACTGCAGCATTGTCTAACATCAAAGACAGAACAGACATACCTAGAATGAATAGGTATGGAGATAGGGGGCAGCCCTGCCGTAAGCCTCTTGTGCTCGGGAAGAACCCATAGAGACCACCATTGACTGCAACCGAAAAGTATGGAGTAGTAATACAAGCACGTATAGGATTCAGTAGACTCTCCGGAATTCCGATTGAGTGTAAAATATCCAAGATGAAATCCCATTTGATGGAGTCGAAGGCCTTTGCGATATCCAGTTTGATGGCCACTCTACTCGTAACATTCTTTTTTATGATAGCCCTGGAGGATTTCAGCCGCTAGTAAACAGTTTTCGGTGATGCTTCGGCCACGAACAAAAGCCGATTGATTCGGAGGTACTATCGCCTCAACTACCAACTTTAGTCTCGAGGCTAGGAGTTTGCTGATTACTTTATAAATGGTATTACAACATGAAATAAGTCTGAAGTCCGACAACCTTTCAGCCCCCGCTACCTTTGGAACCAAGACTAAGGTTGTAGCATTTATCGATCGCGGCATCACTGAGGAACTCATGAAATTCAGGATTGTCTCCGTAAATTCCTCTCCCGAAATATCCCATGACTTTAAGAAAAACTCCACAGTTAATCCATCCGGCCCTGGAGTTTTATTCGAAGGCATGGCTTTGAGAGTAGCTTTGATCTCCTGGCGTGTGAATGGTCTGGCCGCCGTTTGTAAAACAGATTCCGGTGCTCGGATAATGTAATTCTGTACCTCGGGTCGATTTTCCGATAATGAACTATCCTGATCATACTTTCCAAGAACAGCACTATAATAACTGACTGCTGCATCCGAAATGCTCTCTTGATCCACTATGCGCTGGCCATCCGTGATTTTTGATATAAGTTATCTTAAGTAAGAAAATGTAGAAGTGAAGAAGATTGATATAACCTTCTTGGCATTCACAAGTTAACCAGCTTATCCTTCTCAAATTCATCTGCAACAACATGACCGACAAAACCATGGCGCATAAACTCCGCTTGAGAAGTGAGTTCATAGATATCCTCTCGAACTGAAGACATAGTCTCATCAACCATTTATCTTATTTCCGTGTTCGAAACCCCACTTTCTTCATTTATTGCTTCATTCATCATTTCCAAGCAACACAAAGTGAAAGAAAGAAAAGAGCAAAAACCAAAACTAAATGAAAGGTACATAATTAAATATAGGAATGATGCAAAATTTTATTAAGTTCGAACCTCTTTATCTTGACCATGCAAAACCGGAACAGTCTTCTTTGGAAGTTGTTGTTATTGGTGGCATCAGCTTTCTTCCCACTCTTCACATGCAGATTACACAAAAATATGAAATATAAAAAAGAAAAGAATTTGATTATAAAGCACACATTCTTTTAACAAAAAAAAAACACACCTTCTTCCAAGAACCAGATGCAAATTAGCAATTACCATATTAATATCTCATTAATAGTTCATGACTTTTCAATAGATCATAATGTAAAATATTTATTAATATTACCACTAACTATTTACAATAATAACTTTTTAATTTACCAAAATATAAAATAATTATTAAAATCAGCATTAATCATCATATAACTTTTCAATCACCGTAACATTTTCCATTTAATTTATAATTAATATCATTTATAGATTTTTATAAATAGATTTGATTATTTTAATTCAAATTTATATTTTATAATAAATTATATCTTCAGTATTTTTATTTTCTATATTTAACTTAGATTTACAAATATACGTCACTCTAATATAAAAACTTTTGTTTTTATTTTTACGTGATACTTTTTGAATATTATCATTTTAATATTTAAAACTTAAAACAAAATAGGTTTTTATATAATAAAGATAAAATTATACCTTGTTGAATATGAATAATAATAATAATAATAATATGTTTACTCATTTTGTTTGTTATATGTGTCACATAATTTTTTCAAACTCTAATTACATATATAGATGATATATAGTGAAGGAGTTTTTTAAGAACCAATAAAAATAAGAAAATCTGTATGATGAGGTGGCTTCACCAAATATCTTTAAACATCTTTATTAATATATATAGATTTTAGTTTTGAGAATTGAAATCTGATTTTTTTCAATTTATAATATCTAAAAAAATATTTGATATCTTTAGATATTAAACCCAAATCTCATAAAAACGTTAAAAATAATTTTAAATTTTTTAGTAAATATCAACAATATTAAATACTTTAAAAAACTAATTGAAAATATTAATGACACTTTAATTTTTAGTGAAGAGTGTTTTTTACAATTTGTTGGATATCAATCATCAAATCGAATTAGAATTCAAGTCCAATTTACGGATAATTTCGTTTTACAAAATTAAATTTGAATCCAAATTACCTAGATGTAATAATTTTGGATACCCCTATATTTTGGATGTTCATCAATACCAAAATTAACTTTTTTTTCATAAAAATTATTATTTCCAAAGTTTTAAAAACAGATTAGATTCATTGTTAGCCAAAACCGAAATTAAGTATAATAATAATAATAATACTAAAAATCCATAATATCTAATAAAATCAAAGATTGAAGATGAATAAAAAAATGGAATTTTCATCGATCTCTTTATTGTTATCATGGATTTGCTTAGGGTTCATTTAGTTTTTTTTTAATGTAAGTATAGTAGAAAAGATAATTGAGAAGTTAAATGGTTCTTGCAATTTACTCTGGTTTCGTTGATAGTTAAAATAAAAGAAATAAACAAAATATTGAAATATATACAAAATATCTTGTAATATATTGTAATAGTCTACCAAAACAAATATGTTGTAATATATACAAGATATTCTTGTCTTCATAATTATTTTCATCATCGATCACATTGGTTGTGAAATATAAAAGTCGATAATCATTACCATAAAATAAATTACCTCTATGAATAATAATAATAATAATAATAATAATAATAATAATAATAATAATAATAATAATAATAATAATAATAATAATAATAATAATAATAATAATAATAATGCATTGTCGCCCAAATATTTGTCGGAGAAGAAATGTCGTTTGCTCCGCCTCATGTCTTCCTCCGTTGACTTCTTCTCTCCCACCGATAATGACTACAAACATCACATTCCTCTTTCTTGTCAACTAATTAGTAACATAAAATTGAAAATTATTAGAATTTGTTAGTTTTTATTAAAGATAAAATTGAAATTTTATTTAAGAAATCTAAAATGACAACTATTTAGTAGTATAAAAATAATAATATATTATCATGACTTTGAATAAAAGAGAATACTAATTTGACTAATTTAAATAAAAACTTTTGTATTTCTTTCTCGAACTTATCTCTATTCATGCTTCGATCATCGGATACCTCCAATTATATTTACTATTTCTTGAATTAATCGAATTTAATATTTAGATGGCCATTATGCCATTCTATATATATAATGTATCCATCCAACAACGACAAATTGTGTTATTAAGATAAGAAAACGGTAAATTAATTACACTATTTTGTATTATAATAATGTACTTAATCATAACCCTAGCAGCTTATTTACTACTAGATTTTGTAGATTTCACCTAAAAAAACTCGCATGTATATATCATTCAAAAGTGAAAACAGGAGCCATGAACAAAAGCATTATCAAATCGTTGATTCCGATGTGGCCAAAGCATTTTTCTCTCAGTCAAACACCAACGGCTGCTCGAACGTGAACGTTGCCACTCCGTTGCTCTCGTCCCTTGGCCTCGTCAGCCTCACGTCCGGGATCGTCAGCTCGTCTGTCCCTTGGATGAACTGCAATGTCGGTTTCACCATCATTGTGATGTGCCCAAGCTTTAGCCGATAAGAAATCACCCTCGATGATGGCCCTGTTGAAGAGGACGACACTCCATGACTGCAAGGACTGAACCGGACCACACTCGGAACGGACGAAACCGAAGACAGACGATGGCAATACCGATCAGACATGTGCCATCTCGGACTGATTGGTATCTTTGACATCAAATATTCAGAACGTTGGAGCCACACTCGGAACCTCTTTGTGTATATATGCTAGAATACGTATCTGTAAAGTTTCCATTTTCTCAGAACTAAAAGTATCTGCGTATATTGCCAATACTAGTGTGAACCAATAACATAAGGGAGAATTTCTTTCAGAAAACCTTTCTCCCATCTCTCGATCAGATCTGTATTGCTTCTGCTTTCTCGGACAAACTCAGAATTTCTAATCTGAGTTTACTAAATCCGAGCACTAACATCTGATTTTTGGATTAATCAGGTTTCACAGACCGGTGACGGACCTGAGACGCAATACAATTAGGCTTTCATCCTTTGAGAATTCGTAGTTTCACTGACTAAATTTTTGCGAATCAACAGTTTCTAAGACTTGGCCAGCAGGAGAACAGAAGAAAGCCCATGACGCCTCTCGGAGGCTGGCGATTCGGAGAAGAGACGAGCCGGATAGACGAATTGGAACAGTGGACGAAGGAGACGCTGGCATCGGAACGTCGGAGGCCAGAGAAAGCGGTGCCGCCGGAGATTTGGGCAGAGAAAGAGGGGGAAACCACCGCCATTGCCGGAGAAAGAGGTGGAGTGTCAGTGTGCGAGTAGTGTCGAAGAAGTGAAGGAGACGAGACGAGACTGCGCAAAAGAAAACGGATACCACATAAGAGGTCAAGTGGTTGGTGATATGTTGAGGGCATTTCTGTAATTGTAACTGAATAGAATCCACCCACCCACCCACCGCACAAAGAACACACGTGCTTCCTGAGAGCATGGGCTTCTTTCTTACATAACCATTTATGAAATCATAAATGGTAAATGTCGACAGTTAAAACTCGGCAGTTTAGTGGTTGTTGGTCAGTCCTTGTCGTCTTCTCTCCTGCGTAGTTAGGATATTGGCCACTAGCTACGCCACCAGAAGGACGGACCAACGTTTACTCTCTTCTTTGGAGCTGCAGTTACTCATTGCTCAGTCTTTGGACTTTCTCTACTTCTATCCTGCAAAAAAATATAAGAACTCTGTACTGATTGTTTAGTGTTATTAGGTCTCACCTTATCAGAGATAGACCCAGGAGTCTTCAACTCAAGTATCCTCAGCTTTGCTTTCTCGACAGCTCACTGCCTGCGCGGGTTATGTGGTACATGCCCAGACTGCTGTTCAAGTGGTCATATACGGCATGTAGGTGGTTCCCAAAGAATGGGTTTGGCGGCATAGATGGATGCAGTGGAAGGCATAGACATGGACATTGGATACGGGAAGGATCATGGTGTGGCCATCACGATCATTTGGTCCATAGACCTTAGCCTCTGCTGCTAGTACTGGAAGTTTAGATTCTCTATGTCTGACTTCAGCGACGCCTTCTCTTCTCTCATGTCGTTTTTCTCCTCTGTATCAACTATAAAAGGCCTCTTGTTACAGATAATACTAGTAAACAGAGGGGCAAATCATCGAGCCTATCGTCCAAATAACTATATCCAGATAGATTTCAGGGTTTCTTCATGCCTCATCATGTAGGTGTAGCACACACAGCATAATTCAGAGATTCCTCAAACTGAAACGGTATGAATCCTAGACAAAGTTTTGAATATACCTAGTAAATTTCCCATTTCAATGAAATGCTCATTCAGCTTTTCCCTCCTCAACTTCTCCTTGTCAGTCTTCTGCATCTTTCTCACGGTCACCAAGGCCATGAATTCACCTTCTGGTGCAAAAAAATGGTATCAAGGTTTCACTCTAACAAGTGTCTGAGACTTCAAGCCCAACATACCTTCAGGTCCAAAGAACATTCACCGCACATTCTCAGCTCACATCCTAGTCTCTAAGAATCAGATATAACCAGAAGACCAAAATTGATCTCTTCAAGCTAATAAGCAATTGATTCAATCCTCTCACGATCCAAGCTCACATAGGAGCACCATATCGATGGTGTCCCTAACAACTGGTTTGACCAGAAGACCAAACTCATTCCGACTTATAGTTCTTTAAGCACATCTACTGGTTGTAACCTAAGCATTGTGGACCTTACAGGGAAAAAAAACATAAGCATTGTGGAAACACTGTGGACACTCCCAGAAAGACTGATAAAACTAATCTCCGATTGCAAACCGTAACCAAAAAACAGAAATCACCATTGCTCACAAATAAATGGATAGTCTTCTCAAGATGCCAAATTGTGCAACAGGGTTTGGCGGTAAGAGGATAAAAAATCTGAGCATTTGCATTACATAACCATGACAGAAAGACAAAACCAGCGTCAGAAACCACTCGTACTTTACACAATACCATGCTAACAAAGGAATCTCCAACTTCTCATCAGAGATTCCCAAAACGAAGTAGACCTCCATAAACTAGAGCCAGTTTAAACCAACGCCCGAAATTTAAAGAAACTGTTACACTGATTCGAGAAACAATAAACTCAACAACGACCGAAACCCCAGGGAGAACAATACATTGCGGTCGTCAATTCTAGGGAAAAAGAGGGATCGCACGAAATTTGGAGAAACAAAAAAAAAAAAAAAAAACGAGTACCTCAATTTGAGATGAGATGATCGCCGGGACGGCGAGGGTTGGAGATGAGCGACTCTCGCCGGAGGACAGGGATTGATTTGGCCGAGACAAAAACGGCGTCGTTCTGAAGTTGGGCCAAGTTACTGGGTTGGGTCTAATAACTCAGACAACAAGAACTTTATACGGAAACGAAACCACGTCATCTTAGCTTCTTCCTGTAAACAAAAAAATTAAACCGGGCCGGGTTTATTTAGATTTGGGCTGAACCACAAACCCAATAACCAGATACCCCAAACAAAACAAAATATATTTTTTAAATCCTCGATGGCGTTCTGGTCAGTTATCATTTGTTCCTCAGGATCTAAAATCTTCCTCCTCCGAGGCGGTGAGCTCTTTCTTCATCGGATCCGCCGGCTTCGTCTCCGGCCGGAAAGGTCAGATCTGTAGTTTTGTTCTGTCTCTGTTCCGTTTCGGTCCGCTTACCCAATTTCCTCTGAATTTTCCCCGTAAGATGATATGATTAGCGTTTCGTGGTAGGATCTAGGGTTTAATGTTTCTGTTGGTGGAATTTGTGTGAATTTTTCCTGACAGACGAACAATTAGCCGTAGTTGCGCTGTGTACGTCTTTTTTAGGGCGAGATTATATGGGCTTATGCGATTTTTAGGCCTTTTGTTTTCACTCTCATTGCTCATCTTAGCCCCTCAAAGGGCAAAACCGCAGTTCCTGTAGTCCATTTCCGACTTCTATACAAATCTCTTTTCTTATAGAATTGAACTTGGTTTTATAAAGTGAGTCATTTCCCCGGTGTCTCTTGTCCTGTTGCCTTTCAGCTTATTCCTGGCCGCGATTGTGAGTTATGAGTCTTTGATTCACAAGTCTTCAGCTTACGTTACATCTGCATGTTTTACGTTACGTCCAACACTGTTCCATGCTTCTTGCATGTTGCTCGACTTAAATGTTGAGCTGAACTTTGGTAATTATTGTATACAGGGTGCAAACAGCTTTAGGGATTGACTGAGGAATAGGAACTTGGGATAATTAGATGGATAATTGGGAAGATTGGAAGAATCTGGCCGAGCAGAGACTGCATCAAGGAATTGAATATGTTCAACAAATACCACCAACTCAGCTGTATGCTGCAATGGCAGTCTTGCTTCTGACCACCATTTTGCTCTTATCAAGTAAGCAGTAGATACCCATTGTCTTCCCATTCTTCTTGGCTAATAGAGTTGCTTCGGTGTTGGTTGCGAGTTATGTAGGATCTCTCTCTGTGAGGATTCTTTAGAAATAAATAAGGAGATACCATTTGTTTTTGTCATTTCTTAACAACGTTTCTGTTCTTGATTATCCATTTAGAAGTTTGATTCTTTTGTGTTAATGTCTTAGTTACTGCTGCCACTTTTTTTTAATCTCTAAGTCCATGCTGTCTCTCGCAGTTCGCTTGCTAAGACATACAAAGTCCAATACCGTACTTCTTACTGGGCTAAGCGGAAGTGGGAAAACTGTGCTCTTTTATCAAGTGAGTACATGGGCTCTGTTTTCGCTTTGTAGTGGAAAATGTCTTGACTTTCCTCCAAATGTGTTTTTGGTTTTTGTATTTGGGGTGTTGATTTTCATTCAAACATTGTTACAGCTCCAGGATGGATCTGCACATCAGGGAACCGTAACGTCAATGGATCCAAATGAAGGAACTTTTGTGTTGCACAGTGAAATCGACAAGGTAAACATCCCCCTTGGTGTGTCCAAGCTGTTCATGAACCAAGACATGTCTTAGCAGAAGTTTCTATTCCTTTGTGTCAATAAGAACATTTATGGATCTAACATTGTGATGTGGAGAGTAAGTTATCATGATCTACAATCTGTGTTATCTCTTCTGACAGAAAGACAAAGTAAAGCCTGTTCATCTTGTTGATGTTCCGGGGCACTCCCGGCTTCGGCCCAAGCTAGAAGAGTTCTTGCCCCAGGCAGCTGCTGTAGTGTTTGTAGTGGATGCAGTGGAGTTCCTTCCAAATTGCCGTGCAGCTTCAGAGTGAGTACTCTCCATCACAAACACACCCACATACACTTCTGCATTTTGTGAGGAAAGCACAATCTTAAAAGGGTGCTAACTTGTGTAAAATTAATGAACACTTGCTCGGTCTTTTTACACTGTAGATATCTGTACGACATCCTGACCAATGGAAATGTCATCAAGAAGAAGATTCCGGTCCTCCTCTGCTGCAACAAGACGGACAAAGTGACTGCCCACAGCAAAGAGTTCATCCGCAAGCAGATGGAGAAAGAGATGTATGCCTCTCTCTTTCTTTTTATCCTTCCATTTCTTTATCTTTCTCCGGAGACCCGAAAATCAATCTTCTGATTTCCACGTTTTTTTGCAGTGAGAAACTGCGGACGTCGAGAAGTGCGATATCTGCAGCAGATATTGCAAACGACTTCACGCTCGGGATTGATGGGCAGCCATTCTCCTTCACACATTGCCTGAACAAAGTCACAGTCGCGGAGTCGTCTGGTCTGACCGGCCAAACGGCTGAGATCGAACAGTTCATCCGGGTACACGTGAAGCCCTAAGCCGAAAATACTGCATCGATGGACTTTTTTGTTTGAGGCTTGGTCTGTGATTTGAGATAAAGATATACTGTACATGGAATATGTCACTCGTGATAATCTGGCCATTGCTTCTACAGTTCTTCCTATCAGTATATATATATACACACACACACACATAGATATATATAATATTTGATTGCACCACAATTATAGGAAAGGCCCATTAGTTATGCCGCAAATGGTGGGATAAAGGCAAAGCACATCGGCTTTGATGCTTTTGTTCTGTACACTCTCTTGCCTTTGAGAATGTTGGGTTTCCTTTGGAATGTTTTTACAAAAAAAAAAAGACATTAAAATTCTTAATAGAAATAATTTCACACAAAGTTTACCAAACGCAAAAAAGCAATGTTCTTTTTTTCCAACCAAAAAGATGGTTATAATTTACAGAAGAGAGAGGGGACAAAAGAAGCATCAGAAGAACCACTTGTCCAAGAAAGAGGACTGATACTGAAGCAGAACCAGCAGCAGCACGATCAGCGCCGCCACGCCCCACGGCGAACTTCCTCCGTCTCCGTCGATTCTCCGGTGAGACATCGAGCCGAAGAAGGAGAAGTCGGGATTCTCCGCCGTGGAAAGCCACCGTACCAACACGATCAGGACGAGAGGGATCGCCAGAAGGAGGAGGTTCATCTGCTCTCCCGCCGCTTCCACCGCCTCTTCGAAGCTGAAGTACCATGAAGCCAATAGGAAGACCGAAGCTACTGCCAGGATCACGAGTACATGGTACGGGAGTGGTGACAGCGAGAACGAGTCCAAGATGGACGGTCCTGATCTTCTGCCGCCGTATGCCATGTCGATGATGATGATGATGATGATGATGATGATGATGATGATGATGAAGAAAAGACAGAGAAGAGAAGAGCTCCTAAGTTCAGGTCGAAGAAGAAACCGCCTTGGGCCTTAAGTCTGTCTGCATGTGCGTATTTTATGGGGAAAATATATACGAAACGCCTTTATTATAATCGTTTTAGTTAATATTTGTGTGTGTGTGTATATATCACTATAACGTTATAGATTTCGGAAAATGCACAGTCGATTACAAAAGGAAATTAAATTATATGAATATTATAAGCGTAAGGAAATTTAATATGATTTTTTTAAAAAAAAAACACGATGTATACATGTTGCTTTCTCTTTCACGATGGTAGGTAAGCATCATCATCACCACCATCGTCCATCTGCCTTCCACTTTAGTCTTTGCTTTAATTCTTAATTATATATTAGCCAATCACATCAAACGAGCAAACAAAAAAAATATATATCAAAGATGATTTTAATATTTTAACCAATCAACACTGCATGCTTTTGGGGTCTTCTAATGTCATGTATGGAATTAATGCACCACCCATTATCATCGAACATATGCATGCATGCGATTGCTATCAAATCTTCAAAGATTTACATTAAAAATAAATAAATATATAGATTAAAAAAAAATAAGGATTTTGATGTAACTTGCCATATCAAGATTGTGTTTTTGTCCATTCGAGTATGTATATATACATATACATGTAGTGCATAATGTCTTCATTCGACATAAAAGGAGAATTAAACGCGTTTTTGTACGAGTATGAATGAACATGTTAGGGTTTATCGGATTGTTGGAGTATAGGAGAAAAGTCACATGGGTTGAAGCAGTTCTATATATATGTATATCTATATATATTTACACCATCTCTAAATCAAACCTGCTAATCAAACACAAACTCTAAAACTTACAAGCAATCAACCGTCACAAAAAGTCTTATATATATATATATATATTCCAATATATAATTACATAATCTATATATAGCCACATGTTCTACAAAATGGATCAAAAGTCAAAGCTTATAACATTTACATTCTCCACACGTTAACAAATATCTATACACACGACAGGACAAGCCGCTCATCACCTTCCTTTCAATTATTACAAAAGTAATTAACTATCGGTAGTAGCAACCGCATTTCCACCGACCACATGGACACAAGTAGAAGGATGGCTTACAAGAATCTCGATACGACAGCCACCGGACGGCGAGGAGCAGAACCACCGGCACGGCGGCCAGGAGGATCCAACTGAGCCGCTCCTCCGCCGTAGCGACCTCCACTTCGAATTTTACGACGGAAGAGAGCCCTAATAGGACCAGAGCCACCGCTATCATCACCGCCACCGGCACCGGAGACGCAGCCGGTCTGCATCCCCGGCAGCAGCAGCCGTAATAATGATGCATCACCCTCCCTCCCTCCCTCCTTTTCTTTGTTTTTTTAAATGTTTTTTTATTGGGTTTGTGAAAGGGTGCTGATTTGATTATATGGATGAGAATGAATTTGGTTTTTGGATTTTATGTCGGCGTTGAATTAATTGATCAAAAGGGTTAATCTCTAAAGTAATAAATGGATTATTGTCGAGTGATATTGGAAATGAGTGCAAGGTGGTTACAAATATAACGTCAAATAAAGAAGCTTATCTTAAAATTCTCCATCCACCGATAATGACTTCCTCCTTATAGTCCTCCACTCATTATGAAAAAGTTTGCCATGTCCCATGTGCTTTGCTAATGGACAATTCATAAATAAATAAAAAATCAACCGTTATTACAAAAGACATTTCATGAATCTGTAATTAATTATTTAATCAATGTTTACACCGTTCAATATGATCGTTTTCATTAGGGGTGGCAAAAAAATATCCGAATTTCGGTATCCATCTCGACCCGAGGGTCGGGTACCCGAATTTCGGATATCCGCGGTACAATGAGATAGAGATCGGGTTTTAGTATGTTTAAAACCCAAAATTCGGGTTCAGATTCGGATTTATATTTTCGGGTCAGATAATTATCTACGGGTACCTGAATAGTTAAAAAATAAATAATATACTTTTAAATTATTACAAAATTACAAATATATCTATCAATACTTAATTGGTTTTATATTTATTTATACAAAAAATTGTCATTTTATAATCTATTTAGTTTTAATATAAATATTTATCATTAATTTTATAATTTATTTGTATGAAATATATAAATTTAAGAGTTTTTAATTAAAATTTGTATAAATCTGTCAGACGCGGATATCCGAAAAATTGTCTCAAGATAATATAATTCGGATATTTAGAGATTCGGGTACGAATTCGAGTTTTGAAATAATTCATCGGATTCAGGTTTGGATTCGGATACCCTAAAAATCCGGATACCCGACCGTTCCCAACCTAGTTTTCATTACAAAACACAAATTACGTTGAAGGCCCAAAACCAAGAATTCCAGGCTCGGCCCATTTGTATTTCGCAGACTATATTTCATTTCCAGGGCATTTCAGTCATTCTGCATTGTCGACCAAATGTTCCAAAGCCGGCCCTTTTTTCTTCATTCCGATCTCGTCGTTGAAACTTTTCCGTCACTTTCCCGAGAAAATCAGGAACGAAGCTGAAAAAGGAATATAAGAGGAAGAGGGCATGAAGGCGACAAAGACTCCGATCCACGCGGTGTGGACATGGGTGAGGAGGCAGCCGCCGAAAGTGAAGGCGTTCCTGGCCGTCGTCACGGGCATGGCGGCACTGGTTCTGCTCAGGTTCATCGTGCACGATCACGACAACCTCTTCGTTGCCTCCGAGGCTGTCCATTCCATCGGGATCTCTGTTCTCATCTACAAGCTCATGAAGGAAAAGACGTGTGCTGGTAAAAAAAGAATTCACCCTCATTAGAGTTCTTTTGTTCGTCTGTCAATCTATCATTTCTGGTTTAGGGTTTGGAAGCTGGTTTTCCTAATTGTAAATATCTAGAATCATACGGGTCATTTTTTGCTTAATTACTTGTCAACGAAACATCTCAAAGTAACAATCTTTTAAACTCGTGATGGATGATTACTTTGATTTTCAGGAAACGCTATGTACCGGGATGTTCTAATCCATATTATATGAAGAGCTTGAACTTGTTAACACCCAAAATTTAAATTTCGTTAGCATGAATCTGAAGCTGGACATAATTTGAATTGGCTGTTATTCGTTTGCAATTGCCTTGAATTGTACTTCGTTAGGATGTTAAACTCTAAAATTCTGCAACTTTTGGCCCTTGATCTTTGGTCCGAGTCATAATCTGATTACTTCCTTTTCCATTTTTTTTCTCTGGTTATTTGAAGAATCATAATGCAAATTAGACCTGGTGTTTCATGTTACTTTCAGATATATTTTGCAGAGTTCTGTTCTTCGACCCAAAAAATTTATGTCTTTTGTGTTTATTGTTAGTGTTGTCCCACTGATCTGAAGTTTTGTGTTGCTTGGATGATTTGCAGGATTGTCTCTGAAATCTCAGGAGTTGACGGCAATTTTTCTAGCTGTTAGGTTATACTGCAGCTTTGTTATGGAATATGATATACATACCCTTCTTGACTTGGCCACTTTGGGTACAACTCTCTGGGTTATTTTTATGATCCGTTTTAAGTTAAGGTCCAGTTACATGGAGGACAAAGACAACTTTGCCCTGTATTATGTGGTAAGTCATCTGGTTTTGTCTGCTATTTTGTGTCATTAAGGGGTTTTACTGAGCATGTCATTCTGGTTATAAGCAGCTATCAGAGAAATGGTTCTTTATACTCTTAACGGATGAGTACGTTGCGAGATTTTCAGAATGGGGGGGAGGGGGGGAGATCCAACTGTTGGTGTTCTAGTTTGTTGATTGAAGATTCTGCATCGTAATAATGAGTGTTCTATGTTGCTTTTTCAGCTTGCGCCCTGTGCCGTGTTAGCTGTGTTGATTCATCCATCAACCTCGCACAATATACTGAACAGGATTTTCTGGGCATTCTGTGTATATCTGGAAGCTGTCTCAGTTCTGCCCCAGCTACGAGTGATGCAGAACACAAAGGTTTGAGCTTATTGTCGAGTAGGTGATGTTGACATGGACTAGCCAAGTCATTTTCTTTCTAATTTGGATCTGTTTGGTTCTTTCAGATTGTCGAACCATTCACAGCTCATTACGTTTTTGCACTTGGAGTGGCGAGGTTCCTTAACTGTGCGCACTGGGTTTTACAGGTTTGTTTCGATCTTAGCTAAACTCGATATGGCCCTTTGTTTAAATTATTTCTCGAATTGATGATAGTGATGCCGGGTGCCTTGGCAAATTACCCTTATTTGAGACAGGAAATGCCCACTGAACTATTAAAGCAATGCCTTTTCATATTGGCTGTAGCCATTTAAAAATTTAAACAAGGGTTTACAAATTGGCTGCAGTGGTTATTCCTATAGGCAGAAAGACATGTTTCTTTGCATTTGGTACCCGGCAAATGCCTGGAAAGACTTTATACTGTTGCTTAAATGTTTGCCCGTAAAGTCGCTTGCTGGGACAAAACAATTTTTTCGGTTCAACAGATGTCAGTAATTGGTGAAAGCAAAGAAAATGAACAAGCATTTGCAAACGTGGTGTTTATCTGTGTCTCTATTATCTTTTGGGATTTTATCCATCGATCAACTGAAACATAATCTCATTCTTATTTCTGGATCCAAACAGGTTTTGGACACACGTGGTCGGTTGCTGGTAGCATTGGGTTATGGACTGTGGCCGTCAATGGTTCTCATATCAGAAATCGTTCAAACCTTCATCTTGGCAGATTTCTGTTACTACTACGTGAAAAGGTACACTTCCCCTGCCTGAGTTCTTTAATATATATCCATCCATTCATCGTTTCAGTTCTTTCCACAAAAACATTTCCCATTGTTTCGCAGTGTTTTCGGAGGGCAGCTCGTTCTCCGGCTCCCGTCTGGCGTTGTGTAAGTTTAAACGTAGAGATGGTTTGATGACATATACATTTTGATGGAATTGGAAATGAAAATTTCAATAGGAAATTGGCCGAGGGAATGGCTCTGAATTGAGTTATCGTGTTGTATATTAGAGGGTGATTGTTCAGAGACTTGTGTGGTCGATATATTCTACTGTGATTGAGACCGTACTGAACGGATTTCTCGGACCATCATCATTTCATTGTCGGATCTTGTAGGATCTTCGTGTCGTGGTCCAAAGCATTAGTAAAGATGCGCATATGATACTTTGGTCCGACGGTTTACAACTCTAATTTGCAGCAAGCAGCCTAACAATATAATGTTTTTTTTTAATAAATGAGGAAAACAATGCCAAAATATTTAGAATTTTGTACATGAGATGGCCAGGTAGATGTTGAAGGGAAATTATTTATCTGTTATATATTTGTTTGTTGTCGGGTAAGGCATGGAATATCCACACACACATCCATCGAGATTGTTACATTTATAATTATGGAAAAGAAATTAACAGGCGTATTTAATTCAATTTAGGTTAAAAGAGCAAACGTCACATTTCTCCCGCTGGAGTTTCAGGTTATGAAAAGATCGCCCCTAAACTTTCGATCCGCTCAAGAAACCCCTCAAATTCACCCATGGCTCTCTGAATCCATAACACCGAGAGACTTTCCAGAGCCAACCAAAGGACCTTTTTGTAAGGAGAGATTTCCTCATAAGCTAAAACTCCGGGGTAGAAAACACAAACTTTGCGTTTCTTTTTGTTTGTTTTTTTTGTCTGAGTAATTTATAATGGTATATTGATTAGTAAGAGGACTCCTCCTCCTCCTCCTCCTCGGTGGAGGGAGGGAGAAGGGTGGAGGAGGTGAGAGGCTCGTGAACCACCGAGTTGGAAGACACAGAGATGGGTTTCCCCTCAAGCTGCAGCATTATACTTCCCAATATTTCCGCCATTGTCTTCTTGAATTCTTCTTCCTTCACCATCTTTCCATCGTCTCCGTCCACCATCTTCACCGCCCCTGATATCACTTTGTCCATCTGCAAAACAAACGAGCGAGGGCATCATACCCTTTAGCTAAAACGGCTTTAACTTGCATAGAATGCATATATATATATATATATATGGGATCATCGTTCATATACCTGATCAACGGCGCCGAGAGGGGGTAAACCTGCAGAAGGGGCAACAGCATCAAGCACCACCCTTAGGTACTCCTTTGAGATTTTTCCATGGCGGTCTCTTGGAACCTTCTCCAACGCCATGTTCAGCGCCTGTTAAAACCAAAACAACCATTTCCATTTAATCTTGTCATGTCGTGTCAGAGAGTGTTAGAAAACGTTTGATTTTACCTTGTCAAGTTCAAATTTGTTGGAGAGAAGTCTCCTGATTCCGCTCCCGTCGAAGGTGTTCTCGCTGTGGGCGACGATCACGGGCTGTTCTTTGAGCCGCTGAGCCACCGCCTCCGCCACTTTCTTGAATTCCTCCAAGAACCTCTCCTGCGAGACGGGTTTCTCCCTCTTGATTTCTTCATCAAGACAAGATTCAAGAATTCCTTCCACGATGTTGCTCATAACCTGGACACAGACAAGAAAACAAAACACACTACTGCTTGGACATGACAGGGCTGATAGTTTCTGTCTCACTCAGTTCATAACACCACGATGGTTTCATTCAGTAAGATACCCAAACAAGTTCCAGAAACTAACGAAGAAACTGACTCACGTACCCATGGATCGTTTGCTGGGGGCATCCCGTGATCAACCGAGAGCAACTGGAGAGCTTTGACGATGCAATCGTAAAGGGAAGAATCCGAAGAATCAAACTCGGAAAACAGCGACACGATCTCAGATTCATAGCCGGGGCTGCTTATAAACTCCGAGAGATCCTCACCGTCCATCCGAAGGATAACGATCGGATCGCGTTTCAGACCGGCCGCCATACCCAACAGAATATCCGACAGAACTTCTTTGAACTCAGCTTTGCTCACTTTCCCTTGGCTAATTCCATGCGTGAACTCGCTCAGAACCTGTAACGAACGTTAAACAAGAAGCACATAGTAATGTAGCGATGAAATACAGCAGAGGGCTGGCTTTTTTCAACGATTTTAACCGATTTAAGGGCGAAAATAAAAATCCGATCCCATCCAGTGAAAATTAATCATCGTTGGGTCCACCACATTGGATATTTTCCAGGATACGAATCCAAATGCATGCGAAATGACTAAAGCTTCAACGTGTGCCCCGTGGCCGATGGCAATATTAAGACTTTTACCTACAAAGCATGACAAAGCAACTAAATCTTTTCAGCTTATGTATGTATATATGTATATATACCTTCGAGACTCCATTTTTTAACCATGAAAATTTCCGTGGGAATATAAACCATGCATAAGATATCGACAAAAGTCATGTAAATTTTCTGAATTTTTTTTGGTTAAATGTAAATTTTTATATAAGATTTCGCGCTAACGTTGTATATAAAACGGCATTTAACCAATCATAGGACTCTTATGTAGAGACTCCATATGATTAGAACAATATAATATATAAAAAAAAACGTAGAATTCCTTCTCTCGTCGATGTGTAATATATCAAAATGTTTGCGGACGCTACCGTAAAGTTTCTAAAATTTGATGCGCTATTTACCGCATTTGACTTGCACACTCGCATGCAATAAAAAAAAAGTCCAAGTGTATATATATATATATGATCAAATTGAAAGACATGCATTGCATATATTGGCAGCAAATTTAAATGGACAAACAAATCCTATGCATATTCATAATTAAACAAGATTATGTTAGCAAATTAATGACGATGATGAAAGGTTAAGTATAAGCACTAAATGACAAAAGTGAGCATATTCCAACAAACGAAAGAAACATTATAATTGATAACGCATCAGTGCCAAGAGAGGAAGGAAAAAAAAAATCGGTCATTGCATCGTCTGCATGTGTATAAACATAGAAGTCGGAGCCAGGTTCGGTCCGAATAATACAAATGAAACAAAAAAAAAAAAAAAGACTTTGAAAAATACGGAAAAAGCCAAATGCGAAAAAAAGAAAATAATTTAATAAAGTGTCCCTAAGGAAAAAAAAAGGTTTTCAAAGCGTAACGTCATAAAGATATATAAAAAAAAAAGTCTCACGACAGACTCGGGCGCAAAAGATGCGACCACCGACCATCCTATAAAGATATTATCTTTGGAAAATTTCTCGATATGATAATTAAAAATAAATTAAAAATGGGAAGCCAAAAGTTTTTAAAAGAGGTCACGAAGACGGACGCGTGGGGGCTGATTTTATTACAAGACAAGGTTTGGGATAAGGTCGCCGGCCACTAAGCTATATATATTAAATTTGTAATCAATAGGTTTATATATACACATATATTAATACTAAGACAGAATCTTCGGGTCGTAAAATATTGCAACCATATATAACAATAATACTAATAATAAAAAACGTCCATAGCCTACTAGGGTTAATATTAAATAAATTTGGTCGTCGAAATTACCAAAAAGGACACCGTACGAAGAGATTGGCAGATGAAAATTACAAACAATGAAGGGTGAAGAGATGAAAAAAAAAGGGTACCTCGGAGTAAATGTTGTCGGAATCAGGGTTGGAACCATGAGCGGGCAGACCAAGGGCGGCGCCGATGTCGGCAACGGCAGGTTGTAACTCCGTCACGGAAAGCCGACCATCTTCGTCGCGGTCCAGCTGCTTGAACTTGCGGTCTACGTACTGGTCGAATACCTTCTCGTTCTCCACCAGTTCCACGATGTCCGAACCGTCCAATACCTGTTGCTGCTGCTGCTGCTGCTGCTTGCCTCTCTCCATTTATTCTTATTGAATCTTCCCCAATCCCCTTTTTTTTTTGGTGTCGTGGGATTCTTGTGATCGAACTCGTGATCGAAGCACGAGAAAAGGGGGCACAAAAGTATGTGTTTGTTCTCTGTTCGGGTCTGCTGTGGCCTGACCGTTTTATATATATGTGTATATCAGAGGGAGTGTGTAATGGTTTGATTTTACTTTTGACATTTTTGGGTTCTTATTTTTATTATTATTTAGGTTTAAAAGATTTACGTAATCAAAACATTTATAAATTCACCACAAAAAAAAAACATTTATAATCCCCGTGTTAGGTTGGCAGCCAGTTTGTTCGGTTCTTTGAGTTTGGTTTCGCCAAAATGTCTATGTTCGATTCATCCTTTTTTCAAATTTAGTTTGGATACATATTAATATCTTACGATAAAATAATATCATTATATAATATATATTTCGTCACTATTACTTTTCATTGCAACTGCAACATAATCAGTTCGCTAAAACTTATAATCCTAAATATTACATGCATCTTAGATCTTCTTTATACGAAAGAGAAGAAATTAGCTTATAGCAATTAGGGAGGGTTATTTCGATTTTCGCTATGATTTTATTGGAAATCAGTTTTATTATTTTTTTAAAAAAATTATATATATCCGAATTTTATATTAGACTTGGTTTAGGTTTTGTTTTTAATGACATGTTTTTTTCCCCTAAAAAACTACAATTTTTTTGCTCAAATTTAATTCTGAAAATATTAATAGCTATTCGATTTAACTCAAATCCATCCGATTAACGTATAATCGAACGGAATATCCACCTTTAATAGTTGTTATGTTCGTAAAGTTTTTTTAAAGCAGGAAAATATTAAAAATGTAAAGTTTAATTGATGGTGACGTGTCAATTTCAACAGAGGAATGGAGAACAACGAGTCCCCGAGGGCCCGGAAAGAGAGAAGTGGTGGAGCATCGAACAATCTCGACCACCCATCTTCCATGTGGTCCGCATCGCGCGCACGTCACATGCCGTATTTACCCCCACATTTTGGATAAAGATTAAAAAGAAAAGAAAAAAAAAAACATTTCACCTTGCTGAATTATTTATTTTACACGTTCCCATTTTTAACCCCAAAAAAAAAATGCGATATAGATATCGAAAGTGATTACTCCACACGCCCTTAGGCCATAATCAATCTTCCACGTGTCACGTATCGGGCGGACTTCTGACATTCTCTAGATTTTATGATGACGTGGCAATCATCCGTCCAGACAAGTCAGTCGATCGGGTTCACTGCCCTACCCTTTCGTCGGCTTTCTTATATTGATTTCCTTGTGCGGCCCGGAACAGAAGACGGTGTCGTTTTGTCACAACGGGAATCTCTTTCGGCCACTCGTCGCCCGCAAATGTCAAAGCGGACCGCCCAGACGGGGACTACATATGATACTGCGTTTCATGATACCACGAGATTAATATAACAAAAAAAAACAAAAAAACAAAAAAACAAAAACAAAAAAAAAATATAACATATAGCATTATCAGTTATTAATTTTCTTATAACCAAGAAGTTTAATGAGCATTTCACCATTTAATCTCTCTATATTCGAAATCAGTTTTTACTTATGAAATTAATTGCGTCTCCTCCTCTTTATTAACTTTATTAACGCTAGTAGTACCATGGTTTCTCTCTCATGTTTTTTTTTTTTAATAATTAAATGCCATTCACAATTTCACAATATGTTAATGGGCTACATGCCATTCGTCGGCGAGACTCTTATCTTATCCACATAATATAAGATTCTATTTTTGTCCTCTATATGTTAAAACGAGAAAACAAAAATTATATTATTGGTTTTGATTACATCAACCACGAAAACAACTTTCAGATATCCGACATCTTCTTCTTATATTAGAGAGACTTTCACTTACTTTAACGCATATTCCATTTCATGAAGTATCTAGCTTGAAGGATCGAAAAGAAACAGACGTAGTAATTAAATGTTTATTTCTTTTTTAAAGAAGGTAAACCTTTCGTGTCTAGTGGGTTTCTATTATTGCATGCAAAAAAAAAAAAAAAAAAAAACCTACGTGTCCTAACATCTTTTGTTGGTATTCAAAAAAAATCCTATACCATCTTTAGAAAAAAAAAGAAGACAGAACGTATAAGATCATCCTCTATGATTGAGGTTAGCAAAGTTTGTGAAGATTTCTAAGATATTTTTTTTCCTAATCTCCGTATAGGATCTATTGGAGCTGAGAAATAAAAATATATTGGGGACAAAGGTAGGGGTGGACGTTTCGGTAAACGGTTCGGGTTCGGGACGAGAATAAATCGGTTCGGTTCTTTCGGTTTTACAAAAATAGGTACCAATCGGTTTTTATATTGTATTCAGTTCGTTTCGGTTTCGGTATCGGTTCGGTTCCGGGTTTTATTAAAAAAAATGATAGATTTTCTTTAAAAATATTTAGTTTTTCGGGATTTTTAAAGTTCGGTTCGGTTCTGAAAAAATTCGGTTCTTTAAAAATGATACCGTTCAGGAATTAAGAACGGTTTGGGGTCAGAAAAAGTACCGTTTTTTCGGTTCGGTTCGACCGGTTCCGAAGAATCGAACCGAAATGCCCAGTCCTAGACAAAGGGATGATAATAATAGAGATTTAGATGGAAAATGTGTGAAGTTTCTAGATCACAAAATACATATATTATATATTGAATTAATATGCATATATATCTAGAAAAACATGATCAAGTTATTAAAGGAAGATATCCTAATATCTTTGCATATCCATTTTCATATCTTTTTGTATATATTGTTTCGTAACTTCCTCCTTGACTTGTGTCATCTAGTTGATATCACTACGTGTATATATCCTCATGCATTATTGGAAATCAATACAAGGGAAACCATATTTTCCAAATCCTATTACTATCGTATATGGTATCAGAGCACATCTGATCCGAAAATTCTTCCGCAGCCGCCGCATCTTCAGCTCCCTCTCCGGCCACCATGTCCACCGACGCTGCCACATCTGCTGGCTCTGTTCCTCCAGCCACCGACAATGTGCTCCCATATGATCCGGCGAATCTGACAGCACCGTTAATCAATATCAATGTCGTGAATGTCACCAAACTTTCGGCGACGAATTATCTTACTTGGAGCCTACAGTTCCGATCACTTCTCGAAGGATACAATCTTCAAGACTTTCTCAACCCAGCCATGGATATTGCTCCGACGATAACAGAAGCCAATGTCGAGAAAACCAATCCGCGGTTTTCTCCTTGGTTTCGGCAGGACAGATTGATCTTCTCGTCTCTTCTTGGATCAATCTCCCTCTCCTGCCAAGCATTGATTGCGCGTGCAACAACCACCAGCGAGGCCTGGACCACCCTCGCCTCCACATACGGCCGCTCTAGCCGAGGCCATATCAAACAGATCAAAGACACGATGAAGAGGTTCACCAAAGGCGGCAAATCAATTGACGAATACATGCATTTCTTCAAATGCAAGGCAGACGAACTCGCACTCCTCGGAAAACCGCTCGACCATGAGGATCTGGTTGATCTCATCCTCGCTGGCCTAAGTGACGATTTCAAACCCGTCATTGACGCGATTAACGCCCGAGACTCTCCCATCTCCTTTGTTGAACTTCATGAGCGATTGCTCAACCATGAATCGGTCCTCCTCAGTGTCAACAATCACTCCTCAGTTCTGCCCATCACCGCCAACAACACGCAATCGCGGTCTCATGAAGCTTCTTCCCGTCCACCATGGCAGCACCAACCGAGAGCATCTTCAGATTCTTCTGCTTCACACAACCGCAAGCCTTCTCAAGGCTACAAAGGAAAGTGCAAGCTTTGCGGCGTTCAAGGTCACAGTGCGAAACGCTGTCACCTTCTCCGCTCCCCTGGTGGTCCTTCGCTGAATCAACCCTCTCTTTCGCCATGGCAACCTCGGGCTCATCATACATCTCTCGCTGCTCCGCCGACCCCTCCAACGTGGCTCTTGGATTCCGGTGCCTCTCACCACATCACGTCGGACTTGACCAACCTCTCCCTTCATGCGCCTTACACCGGTGGAGATGATGTCGAGCTTGGTGATGGCTCAAGCCATCCTATCACACACTCGGGTTCTATGTCTCTCACCTCTCAATCCATTCCTTTTTCCCTAACCAATGTTTTATGTGTACCAAGCCTTCGAAAGAATCTTATCTCTATTCACCAACTTTGTAACACTAACAAAGTTTCGGTGGAATTTTTCCCTTTGCATTTTCAGGTGAAGGATCTCGAAACGGGAGTGCAACTCACAACCGGAATGCTTAAGGATGGTGTGTATGAATGGCCACAATCCGTCCCCTTCTCCTCTCGGTCTCCTAAAGCTCTTTCGTCAATAAAGACTTCCTTCTCGGATTGGCACACTCGGTTAGGACATCCATCCGCCGAAATTGTTAGTCGAGTCATTAAGTCATTTTCCCTTCCATTGTCGTCTAAACACTCTCATGAGTTACCTTGTCATTCTTGTGCTATCAATAAAACACACAAGCTTCCCTTTCACTCTTCGAGTCTTATTTCTACACGTCCACTCGAAATTATATTTTCCGATGTTTGGACCTCCCCAGTTTCATCATTTGACAATTTCAAATACTATGTGATTTTTGTCGACCATTACACGAGATATACATGGTTTTATCCTCTTCGACGAAAATCACAAGTGTTCGAAATTTTCCCGAGGTTCAAGTCACTTGTCGAAAACCGTTTCAATGTTTCAATCCAAACTTTATATTCGGATAATGGGGGTGAGTACATAGCTCTTCGTTCCTTTCTTTCCCAACACGGGATCTCTCACCTCACCACACCTCCTCATACACCCGAACACAACGGACTTTCGGAAAGAAAACATAGACACATCGTTGAGACGGGTCTAACACTTCTTTCCCAAGCTTCGATTCCCGTTGAGTATTGGACATTTTCATTTCCCACAGCCGTTTATCTCATTAATCGGCTTCCCACTAAAGTCCTAAACCACAAATCACCTTTTGAGAGTCTATTTAAATCAAGTCCGAATTATACCAAACTTCGAACATTCGGATGTCTTTGTTTTCCATGGTTAAGACCTTATTCCAATCACAAATTGGATCCACGGTCGATTCCATGCACATTTGTCGGCTACTCATTGACACAAAGTGCATTTCTTTGTCTTGATCCACAAACATCTCGTGTTTACTCGTCTAGACATGTTACATTCTTCGAGTCCACCTTCCCTTTTTCCAATCTCTCAAAACCATCGTATGTACCTCTAGAAGAGTCTTTCTCACCGTCTTCATCTCCGCCATATTCCCTCGTCCGTGGCTATTCATCTCCACCATTCGACACCGCTCCACATGTGCTCCCGCAACGAGAAACTTCGCCGGCCAATGCAGCATCACCAACACATACTCCTCTCTCGGAACCAACCTCTCCACCATCTATCCCACCGACCTCACCACAAACCACACATCCAAACAACTCCCCACAAACAGCCTCCGTACCATCATCCTCACCTTCTCCATCATCGGCCTCTAATCCTACAACACAACGAGCAATCCTTAATAACCATCCCATGACCACTAGATCCAAAAATAATATCTCCAAGCCATCACACAAATATGCTAACCATTCCACAACCATACCAAACAGGGACATAGAACCCACCACGGTGTCACAAGCTCTAAAATCGCCCCATTGGAGACAAGCCATGACGGAAGAGTTTGACGCTCTAGTCAAAAATGGCACATGGGATCTTGTACCCATGAAGGAGACATATAACATTGTTGGTTGTAAATGGGTTTTTCGGACTAAACGTCGTGTTGATGGTTCTTTTGATAGGTGCAAGGCTCGGCTTGTTGCCAAGGGTTTTCATCAACGGCCGGGCATCGATTATCATGAGACATTCTCACCGGTAATCAAACCCGCTACCGTACGACTTGTCCTTAGCATAGCTACCACTCGACGTTGGCCTCTCCGTCAACTAGACGTGAACAATGCCTTCCTTCAAGGTCGTCTCCACGATGATGTCTATATGGTTCAACCACCAGGATTCGTCGACAATGATCGTCCCTCTCATGTTTGCAAGCTTCACAAAGCACTCTATGGACTTAAACAAGCCCCACGTGCATGGTACAATGAATTGCGGGAATTTCTTCTTGGCTTGGGATTCTCAAACTCTCTTGCCGATACATCGCTCTTCATCTTCAACAATGACGGTATCATCATTTTTCTCCTCATCTATGTTGATGATATTGTTGTTACCGGCAATAGCTCCGACCGTTGCCAACACTTCATCACCATGCTCTCGGCCAAGTTCTCCTTAAAAGATCTTGGACCCCTTTCGTTTTTCCTTGGAGTGGAAGTTTCAAGGACGTCCGACGGCATCTATTTAACGCAGCAAAGGTATATTACCGATCTTCTCCAACGAACCAACATGCTACATGCCAAACCCGTATCAACACCGATGTCTTCGACAACCTCCCTTACGTTGAATGCGGGTATTGCTCTTGATGATCCTTTGGAATATCGAACCATTGTTGGGAGCCTCCAATATCTACACTTTACACGTCCGGACGTCTCCTTTGCCGTCAACAAGCTTTCCCAATTTATGCACAAACCAACAACGGAGCATTGGCAAGCGGCAAAAAGGGTTCTTCGCTACCTTGTAGGCTCCACACGTCTCGGGCTTTTCATGTCCGCATCCAACTCTCTTCGTCTACATGCCTTTTCCGACGCGGATTGGGGCGGTAATCGGGACGACTTTACTTCGACTAGCGCTCACATTGTATATCTCGGTAATCATCCTATCTCATGGTCATCCAAAAAGCAAAGGATTGCCGCACGCTCGTCTACCGAGGCCGAATATAAGTCAGTGGCATCAACGGCCTCCGAGGTTCGATGGCTTACATCTCTATTATCTGAACTTGGTATCTCCACTCCCTCTCAACCGGTCATATATTGCGACAATGTGGGTGCCACATATCTCTGCGCAAATCCTATTTTTCACTCACGCATGAAACATGTGGCTATTGATTATCATTTCATCCGAGGATTGGTTCAAGACGGTACTCTACGTGTCTCACACGTCTCCTCACATGATCAACTTGCGGACGCCCTCACCAAACCTCTTCCCCGAGCACGGTTTGATTTACTTCGTCTCAAGATTGGTCTCGCACACGAGCCTCATCTTGCGGGGGCATAAAGGAAGATATCCTAATATCTTTGCATATCCATTTTCATATCTTTTTGTATATATTGTTTCGTAACTTCCTCCTTGACTTGTGTCATCTAGTTGATATCACTACGTGTATATATCCTCATGCATTATTGGAAATCAATACAAGGGAAACCATATTTTCCAAATCCTATTACTATCGTATAGTTATTACCATATTATTTTATTCTTCTCAAACATTTTTTTTATGGCTTCACTGAGAAAAAACTGTCTACTCTCATCACTTTCCCACGCGTACACTGCGAAAAACCCTTTTGGTGTTTGAATCTCCTTAGCACTCAAAAGACCTCTAACCAAAGCCTTTTTTTCCCCCGAAAGTTTCAAAAGGCAAGGTTGTTGTTTTGGTTATACGAAGAATTTGATTTGCTTTGTAAACGAAAGACAGTTCAATATATATATAGAAGTCAGTCAATGATGAACAACTTCTGGGGAATGATGAAATGAAATGGTGCCCTACAGGCAGGGTTCACATGGCTTTTGTCTTCCACCTGCTAAACTGAAAATTATACGGCTGTCTTAATGGATATATATGACCAACGGTGGGACAAACCAATTAAAGATTACAGCTTATAAGAGCTCCATGATTGAATTCAATTTGGAAATCATGTGGGGACTTGAAGTTGTTCACCAAGAGAACATCGAGTATCAAAGATCATATGATCATGTATGAACGGTCCATGGACATAATTAAGAAAACTTGTAAGTTCATTTTGGATCGCATAAAACCCATCTGATCTGACCATGTATGAGACATGGGCATATGCTTTTGTCTGTAGAAAAATGATCAGAAGAGGGTCACCTTATTAGGTAGTTGTCGTGCTAATTAAGCTTAACAAGGCAGAGAAAGCTCTATATCACCACCAACATTTCTTGATGGGGAAACAGAAAAGACAAAAGCCATGTGCTGATGATGTTTTTTGGCTAAGTTTCTATAAACCCATGAAGGCATACCTTCAATCTATAAATGCGCCTTTCTGAATCTCTAAGCTTCACAAATTCTCAACATTTTCAGGAAAACAAGAAAAAAGAACTGTCTGAATCATTGTTGCAAGTAAAAAAAAACAGAAGATCTATATTTCAAGTTCCATGGCGATTAGGGTTCCTCGCTTGCTTCAGACATCAAAGCAAATCCTCCGACAAGGAAAATCATTCTCACACTCAAACTCTGTCGATGTTCCAAAAGGGTACTTTGCAGTTTACGTTGGAGAAATCCAGAGGAAGAGATTTGTGGTTCCGATATCGTTCTTGAATCAGCCTTTGTTTCAAGATTTACTAAGAAAGGCGGAAGAAGAGTTTGGGTTTGATCACTCAATGGGCGGCCTCACTATCCCATGCAGTGAAGAAACCTTTGTCGATCTCACCTCTCGACTCAACAGCTCACGACGATGACTCACTCCTTAGTTGATAGACTTAGCCGTCCATTCTTGTACAAATTTTCCATCAGTTTCTTCCTTTCTCCTGCCCCATGAGAAGAGTGAACATAAAAATCTCTCCTGGGAAAGGAAACTGATGTGACTGCTTTTTCCTCCCTCGCGTTTCAGTGAGTTTGCAATTGATCTAAAGATCTTGATTAAATCGGTGTCTTAGTGCATCACCATTCAAGAAATCCAATCTTGTACGTTGTCTTCAAATTAAAGAAACATTTCAGTTCAGCGTTATAAGCTGGTCTTGGTTTTTCGTGTTTTTGCATTACCTATCAAAATCTCGGCACGCGTATGCGCTTGAACTTGTGATTTAAAATCTTCTTTAAGAACAAAAAAAAAAAAAAAAAAAAAAATT